ACATTATTCCTTGTAGTTTTCAACCAGACATTAAAAATATTTCCTCTTAAGAGAATATTGAAAACAATCTATTTAATTTCATAAATTTTTCTTAAAAAATTCAATGTTTGATAACCCATTGTTATCAATGGGTGACATTATTCAGAAAATTCAGAAAATTTAAATTTGGGTTTAGATAGAATTTGATGTATAAAGTATGCTTTGAAATATTAAAAACAATCATATGGTATACCAAATATTTTATTTTTTATTTAAACTTATTGTGGAATGTTCGTATTTTGTTGGAACATTTTGTCTAAATTTTTTTGTTTCACATTGAGTAAGTCAGTATTTTATTTAATACAATAATCGCATTAAACTATTACGTTATGACAACATGGCTGGTGTTATAATCACGAAGATCTTAAAAGATGCGAAGCAACCACTTACCAATCAACCCAGAGGGAGATTATGGCGAAAGTGGCGCTTATGAAAGGAGTAAGTTATAAGTTTAAGAGATGGAATTATTAATTAACTATTAACCACCTAGGAGCTAGAAACCCTCCATCTTGTTGACCTATAGCTTAAAATCGCATTTGACATATTTTCTTTGACAAAATAAAATATTTTGACATTTTCACAAATCTCACAAATTTCACAAATTTTTTTTTTGAATGTCAAATATTTTCTTAAATATTTTGTTATCCTTTTTTCATAACTATTTAATATTCATTTAATATAATTTAATATGTGATGAATATGCACTGAGTATATATAGGAGTTATCAACCTAAAGCAAATATAGTATTATGAGACATTTTACGATATTGGAGGTGTCGTTGGAAACTCTTTCTATTCATATTCTTTCAAGTATGTCATCAATTTTTCAGAGTTTCATAACCAAGTTCAACAAAAGGTTAATAAAATATTAATCTCTGAATCCATGTGATATCATTAATAGCATGCGTATGCTCATATCAGACTTAATTCCAAGACAATAGTAATTGAAATAGTTGCGCTTGTGAATAAACTACAATACAACCTAATTATGGCTGTCAGTTTTTGAAATTATAATTTCAAATAGTCCACATATTCTATTTTTCTCTGACTGATGCTTTTTCTAGTTTAAATTCAATCGACTTCTGCAATTTCTGTGGGGCTGTTTATATTTTCATTTTCTCTTAACAAGTGGGATAAATAATCAATAGTCGTCAACACATTTGATCTCATGTAGAAAAGTTGTAGAAATGTTATAGTAAAAATAAAAACATCAATGTGATGCTAACGCAAGTTCGACGCCATCTTGTAGCACTTGATGAATACATTAAAGAAATATAATATATTTCTATAATATAGAAATCTTTTCTGCTTTGAGCAACAATTTCCCGACAACTATTATATAGACAGATTCAAGGAAAGTTAATATTTACATATTTTCTTTTTTGAGTTTGTTTTTGATACATAAATTCGGAAGTCACCCAATCCAAAAATATTAACTGCATAATCAATATTCTAATATATTTCAAACACAGCAGTTCTGAGATGTGCAGTGTTGAACCTTCTAGAATTAATTTTTCTAAATTTTCTATTAAATTAGAATCTAAGTGTTCGGCAATGAAGTCCACAATCATATCAAGTTCCCTTTAAAGATGCAGTGATATTTTGTCACAGACTTCGACTTACTATATGTAACAACAATGCCAATATGTCCGAATGCTATTGTAAGACTGATATGCAAGCATAAAAAAAAACAGGAATACGAGTATGTTGTGGTTGCAAATATTCTCATATATATTAACCGATTTATTTAACCATTATTGATATTATACATCTTTAATTGTAAATCTATTATTAATGGTTTTGAAAAAATAGTAATTAGATAAGCATAAAAGCGTGTAAAGATGAAGTTGTAAATGCTATCTTAGCTGGAACGGAACGTGGATACATTCAGAGAATAAATCAAAATAAATATAAGGTCGCAATGAAACAATCAATGATGAATTTGTTATCGGAAGCAACTCCAAAACAACGAGTGCTCAAGAAAGGACTAAGTTTGGGCGCCTTGATGTCTCAGAGACGGAAGTCTCCGGTAAAAAGCAGACCCAAAAAGAGTAAGGTTGTCGCGGAAAGCCAAAAAGAATTGGGGGTGAAAGGCGCCAAACGAAAGTCATTGGTAAAAAATTCGCCTAGAAAACGACAACAATCTGGAAGAAAGAAGGCTCTGTCAAAGAATTTGAAGATAAGTAAAAAAAAAAAAAAAATCATGCCAAAAAGAAGAAATACTTAAACGTGTTCTAATGAAATCTGAAATACCTAAAATTATAAAAATCTTGGTGTATGAATTTCTGGATCCGTTTCTACTATATGAAGAATGTGAATGTCTTGTCATGAATGTGAATGACTTTAAATAAACAAAAAATTAAAAGGTGAATTATGAAAATATGTGATAGAGAGAACCAACTCAATTTCGTTAATTCTCAAAAAAGGTCAACTCAAAATTAATCTCTTTAACTAATAAATGGATATTGAATGCATTCAAGGAATTTATATATTTAAATAAGTTAAATGGAAATGAATATATTTTGAAAAATTTTCAGTTCATAACATTTTAATAAAATGCAAAAAAAAAATCGAATTGAAAGAGTTTGAATGTTTTAAAAAAGTTTTAAGAAAGTGAAAAAAATTAGAAGTATATATCTTATATAGCGGTAAAAACAGCTCTACCCTATATAAATCCAAGACTTTTTACATTTAAAATTTAACTCACTCCTGTTATAATTAGCGATTCGTTACGCTGTTGTTATATATATTTAAATAAACATATAAATAAATAAAGAAAAATAATAAAATTAAATATATGTGAGAAATTAGTCCATATAAATTTTCAAGTACATTGCAAAGTATTAGTAAAATGTAAGTATCACATCGAAATATTAAGGCTCTTTCTTAACTTTTTGTTCCTCACCATTCAGAAAACATATATTTTCTTGCCCTCCTACCTTACATTTTTCGACATATATTGGCATAATCTAGAATTGATTGGGCCAGAAGTACAGAACGTTAATCCTGTTTTAAAGTATATTACGTCTCCGCAGGAAAGATGAAATCATCGGAGTACTCTAAGAGTATTCGAAGCAACGCATATGCGAAGATAGTTTCAGCTTTAGCATGGGATAAGGCTTCTATTTTTGGAATGTATATATGTGACAAATAATAAAATATGTAACTATGGAACACAATACTAATATAAATCTTTAAAGTTTCTAGTGTTCTTATCGTTTTAATCAGAGCCTTATTATATTGTGATTAATATTAGTTTGTAATGTTTAAATAAAACATGAGTAGAATAAAAATATGTTTTTATTTGGTGCCCTATGTTTTTTCCTACTAAAATGATGGGTCTTCAAAATTTTTTTAAGTTAAATAAAAAAAATTTCTTAAAAAATGTAAAAAACTTTGATTTCTCGAGAATATTTTGTCGTAAAAAAAATTTGATGGTGGCAATTGTTCATCGTGGCCACTTAACGCAAAGGATTTATTTATAACTCTAAATTTGTGGAAACTGCAGGTGAAGCTCCCCTCATCCAAAGTAGTGATAGGTAGACGTGGAAAACCTGTGACCGGGAGTGATATAAAAAAATTTTTCCCATTGAGCAGTTCATATAGAAAATTCTCGAAATGATTATGTTTACTTAACTAAATACACTTCTGATAATTTGAGACTACGAATGGCCTCTCGTTGCAATTTTGAATCTTAAATATTGTTATGGGTAGCTGTGGGCGTCAGTGGACATTTTTCAGTCGTTTTCATAGAGCCTGGAAAAAATATACCAGTATGGATGCGCTCAAGAAAGCCATTATTCAGGAATGTGCCAATATACCGGATGATCACATTCATGAAGTATGTTACTCATTTTTAACCGTTTGAAAGCCATAGTCAATGCAAACAAGGCCATATCGAGCTTAAGTGAATGGATTCTGAAATTTTAATTATTACCACAAATTTTTGTAATTTCAATCAATAAAATATAATTTCACACAAAAAAAAATGGTCGCCTGAATTGGTAACTCTTCAATCGTTTAGCCCTATATATTTAGCTTGCGTCATTATTTCGTTATTTATTAGTAATACTGACATTACACAAAGTCACAACACAAATAAGAAGTGAAAGGGAGTAAAATCATTGGATGTATTCACGAAGTCATTTAAACAGCGAGCATGTTAATCTCATCCTAGAGTTCTTTTAGAAATGGAAAAAAAAAATTAACAATGAGAAAACTAAAGCTCTGTTTATTACTCGCAAACACAGGCAGCATCCACCGAGAGTGAGAGTTGGTGACATCGCGATTAGTTGGGAGGACAGCATTAAATAGAAATCACGTTTGATAAACGATTGACTTTGCTCAAGCACATACAAGTCAAAAGAAGTAGTTGCGTTAAAACACTGCGATGCTTACAACCACATATCATACACAACAATCTTAGAGCGAAGAACAGAAAGCTGATCTACAGCCAGATAATTAGACCAGCACTACTTTATGGGTGTGTCGCGTATAGCAAAGCTGCCGACTCTACTATACAGAAGCTGCAACTTGCTCAAAGTCAGGCTCTCCGAAGATTCATGGTACATCCGCACGAATGACATGCTAAGAGACCTTAGCATAGATCCGTTCAAAAAATACATAAGAGACAGAACCGTCAAAAAATACATATGGCAGTAGGTCATATGGATATGGCAGTAGGTAATAGTTTATATTAACTTTTAGATATTTATAATAATTTAGAAGCATCAAATCCACCCATGTGTATTCATTGATCCAAAAAAATTGTATGAATCTTTAATTGTTCTCGAAGAGATTAGTAGAAATTAGATTTGTTTTCACCTCAGGATTATGTACAGCATTTCCTAATGTTTTAAAAATTTTTAATTTTTCAATCTAAGTAATCCTTTGGTAAAAATTTTGAAAGTATATTGATATACCTTTTATCATAAAAAAAAATTTCAAATAAATTTAGTTTATTTCCTAAAACTAATTTCATTGTCGGAAGTAATAATTGTCATTCCAATTTCATTAACAAGTATAAACTTTAATTGCAAATCAATATGATTAAACCGGGAGGTAAAATAAATCGTTAATTGGTAAATTGAAAACACATTAATTTTATCTTTCTTTATTATAGAACTTAACCGCTATAACCCAGAGCAGTACAACAACTTCACTTTTGATAATGATTCGGTGCGCAAACAATTCATTGCAAAGGTTTTCTCCATAGTTGGGGTAAGTCTGATATTGTCATGTATTTTCTGTACATCGAAGACGTCTAGACTGTGCTCTTTCTTGTCTAGTTTCAGTTATTGTTTAGCGCAGCCATTATAGCTGTGTTTTTATTTAACGGCGATGTGAAGGACTTTGTCATCCAAAACCCTTATCTGTTCTGGGTGGCAATGGGTGCAATATTTGTTACTCTAATTATGATAGCTTGTTGTGACACTATACGCCGGACTTTTCCAATTAATTACATCTTGCTCGCAGTTTTTACAATAGCTGAGTCGTTTACATTAGGAATAATAACACTTAACTATGAAGTTGACTACGTACGTCTATAATAGTCCCTAACAATATTCAAATTTATTATATGCTATTTTTTAATTAGCAGTTAAAATTGTCTGTATTTTCAGGTAATCCTAGCTTTGGCTATAACCGCTGTTGTTGTTTTTGCCTTAACAATTTTTGCAATGCAGACAAAAATTGATTTCACCACCTGTGGAGGTATGCTGCTAATGTTTATTGTAATCCTGATCATCATGGGCGTAGTTTTGATGTATTTTCCTGATCGTGTAACGAAGATGGCTTATGTCTGTTTCGGAGTTTTCTGTTTTGGATTATATTTGGTTTACGATGTCCAATTAATGGTAGGAGGGAGTCACGCCTATGCAATTTCCCCAGAGGAATATGTCTTTGCCGCCCTCTCAATTTATATTGATATCATCAATATTTTTATGTATATTTTAGCATTGTTTGGTATGTCGAATGATAAGTAAACAAAAAATTAAAATATAAATTTTTTTTAATGTTACTGTGAATGATTCGTTTGAAAATGATTAAGTTCTACATATTTATAAGTATATAGAAGGTAAGTATACAAAGACTAATCCAAAGTAAAAAGCAAAGAAAAATAACAAAATTATTTAAAAAAAAAATAGAATCAATGTTTTAGATCAGGGCTCTCCAGCTCAGATAAGATAGTTGGCTAATACAAATAACTGAATGGAGGAGGAGGAGGGAGAACCTTAGAAATAAATACATATATTCATTATTTTTTCGGAGAAAAATGACAATATGGCAATATTAATATTAATTATTAATATTAGTTGTTGCTATACAAAAAATATTTTTTATTTAATGTAATGACTTACGGCACTGGATACGAGTTTTTTGAACCACTTGTACCAAGAAATATATACTGAAGTGAAAACGTTTTAATTATTTTATTTGGGATGCCATAAAAATAAAATAATATAATTTTAACAAAGTTTTAAAAAAAAAAATTTTTCCAATTGTGTTAGATTAAAAACCAGTCACGGGCCGCACAAATATTCGCTGTGGTCTACATGAAGCCCATGAGCCGTGCTTTGGACGGCCTTGTTTTAGATCATTGTAAGTATAAACCTTTTGAATAGCATATACGTTTTGACCATGCCTTCCATTCAACATCAAATGAATTTTTTCGAAAAAGTAAAACTGGAGCGTTACCAAACGCAATAAAATAGTTACTTATAATACTTTAAAACCCTCATATAAATGATTAAGTGAATAAAACAATTTCTCAATGCATTTCAAATATAATAATGAGTCTTTTAACATTACATCAAATTATTTTTAAATTTTCAAAATTTCAGTCATTACTTCTTTCAATTCATTATATTGAATAATTGAATAATTAAGTCATTGGACATTAGCTGGCAACATAATTTTCCACAAAATTCATATAAAACTATTTTCCAAACATCAAAATGTTTCAAAAACGAAGGCCGTCATTATTATGCACAGCTAATTGAAGGACTACAATAGGAGATGAGATGCAGAATAAGGGCAAGGGTGACAGTCGTTGTAAGCGGAAGAATTTTCCACTAAAAGGGATGAACTCGACTATTCAGTAGTCGCGTACAAATATATCCCTTGTATTCTCAACACAAATCCATCACACAACTTCAGGGTATTCTTAGTACGTCACTATAAACCTTTGTTGGTATTGTTGTTTTGGAAAATTGTTGCGGAAAAATTGATTTTCCTTGCGGTGAGCATCAAACGTAGCCGCTTTGTGTGATATTCTCGTTCATGAAACCTCAAAGAAATTTTCCGACTTTCATATTAGGTGCGCATAAGTTGCTGGTCGTGTGTGAAAAAATACTTTCGAAATGGAAAATTTCAAATGGAAATTTCTATTTGCTTTGCTTATTGAAAAAAATTGATTGAATCAACAACTTTGCTATGAAAATAAGGGAAACAATCTGGGATTTCACTTCGAAAATTGTTTAATTTCTATGAAAACTTATCTTCCAATAAATAGTATAAGAAGCTTAGAAGTCATAAAAAAACCTACATATCAATTATGTATAAAGTGTGGCCAATTGAATTGGAAGTGTTAAAAATATATAGATCAAAATATCTGTATTATATACTTTGACAAATGTCGTAAAATCTACGTTACTTATTGGTAATATTCCGTATTTTTTTTGTTATTATAATTAAAAAATCAGATAATGGTATATTACAAAATACAAAATTAACTCTACTATCTCTATAGGGAGTCTCCTAAGTCAACCTGGATAAATAAAAGCTGTTGACTTATAGTATCTTATAATGACTATTGGTATACCAATAAAAGTCGAATTAAGGTATGGGATGCATTTTCCGACAATTGCAAGATACGAGCAGCTAAAAGGGGCAGAAATCTGACTCTGCATTTTAAAGAAGAATATCTAAACATCGGCGGACTTTACTTCTAAGTTCGAAGGGTTGAAATTCGCTGTGGTATAGCCAGTTAAGAAACCAGTAATGATTATGAGTTCAGATCGTACATATATCATGTTACTAACAATGTTGATAAAACAAATTGTGCTTACCATATTTGTGAGAATACTGATTGTCTACGAAAATATTTTTCAAAGGATTTTATTGATATTTTTTTGATTCGTTTTTAGTTGAAATTAGTTCCATCAGCTTAAAAATCAAAATGGCAATAAAGGATTCGGAAAAAAAATCTTACCTTACAGTTCTATCATAAAAGCAATTACGATAGCATTATTGGTATATACAAAACTCAAATATACGTAACGATCTTTAAATCCCCTAGTCAAGGATGGTACTTCTGAATACTTGGAAAAATGTCTTCTAAAGTTTAATGAACATTGTATGTTAACCTTAATGACAGACGGAAGAAGCTTTCAACATCACTTCGCATCTAAAAAGAGGCATTAATAGCCAATAATGTCTCGTATTGAGAAAGTCCAATTTTGAAAACTATTTTCGTTTCTTTTTTGCCCTTATTTATTAAAAATAAAAGATAATAATAATATTATTATAGAAAGAGGGATCCAAAACAAAAAAAAAAAAATAAAAGAAAAAAATTTAAATTTATGTTTAAATGCAGTTAGCTGGCAGTTTGGCTTTGTTTTATAATTTTAATTAAGTTTAATCATAAAAATATCTGTGGGTGACTTAATAACATTGTCAATTATGTTGTGGATTTTTATTTTATTATACAATGTGTTATTTTGGTTTTTTCTATTACATTGTATTATTAAATTTGTGTTTAATTTAATTTTTTATATTTAACTATATATTATATTATTTTATTTCATTACATCTTTTTTTTATAATTTTAAAGAGGTTTCCAAAAATAGTTAATTACAAGAACAAAAATTCTTTTATATTATTTTAATTAATTAAATTTTTGGTTGACCCATCATCAGTGGTCTTGGAATTATTTCTTGTATTTAATTATTCGTAAATAATTTTTTTGAGACTGCAAGCATCAGGATTGAACTCATGTCCTGCTAAATTTAAAGCTCAGAGTCAGCGTTCATTAGCCAACTGACCAAAAGCCTTACTTGACTTGTTTGTTACTATATTTTTCTGAAGTTTAGTTAATTTGCTCTAATGAGTTTTTTTAAATAACTTCAGTACATACTCAATATTGTGCTCACTTGGTTCGTTATTAAACCTCTTTAAATCAATCTATTTACTAGTACTATCTTTGCTGCTGACTCTCCTCACTCGATAGATGTGTTAAAGTTTTATTAACAAATATGTATACTTAGATATTGTAGTTAAGAATGCGTTTGGATAATAATATTTAAAATATGACGTTACTTGTGCAACTAACTTATGTGATTTTATAAATATTTTGGAATATTATTTTAGCCACATATTATTCCTGCTATTATGTAGCATAATCTGTTTCACTCTGACTGCAAGAACTGTAGAGGAATATCGCTGCTAATAACCGGATGTTAAGTTTTTACAAATATTCTATATCAAAGAGTCAATTCTACTGCAGAAGATGTATTGTGTGTATATCAATGCAGTTTCCGCCTAAATAGATCAACCCTATAATCAATGTTTTACAATATGTCAGATTTTCGAAAGTCGCGCGTATATGATATTGTCATACAGTGCCTATTCATAGACTTTCAACAAGCTTTTGACAAAATATACCATTCAAAAATTAAGTTTCCGGTATTGAAGAATGGAATCCCAATAAAAATGATCAACTTAATTATACTAACACAGCAAGTCAAATACACTTTCAAGGTGAACTAACAGATCCATCGGAACTATCGTAAATTTAGCGCCTCTAGGCTTGTAAATTAAATTTGTAATTGTCGACTTCCTAATAGTGTTTTTACGGTTGCTTCTGTTTCCGAAATATCGGATATGAATTTTATTAAAAGAGTCTATTTCAATAGTTTGAATTTTAATTAATTAAATGGTCCGTTAATTAAAACTCGTTGAATAAAAAATATTTAATTATTACATTATATTTTTATTTCATTGTGTTATTTAGCATATTTCTTCCAGTTTTTATCAACCATTGTGTTGCAATCCTACTATACTATTTATTGGAAGATAAGTTTTCATAGAGATTAAACAATTTTCGAAGTGAAATCCCAGATTGTTTCCCTTATTTTCATAGCAAAGTTGTTGATTCAATCAATTTTTTTCAATAAGCAAAGCAAATAGAAATTTCCATTTGAAATTTTCCATTTCGAAAGTATTTTTTCACACACGACCAGCAACTTATGCGCACCTAATATGAAAGTCGGAAAATTTCTTTGAGGTTTCATGAACGAGAATATCACACAAAGCGGCTACGTTTGATGCTCACCGCAAGGAAAATCAATTTTTCCGCAACAATTTTCCAAAACAACAATACCAACAAAGGTTTATAGTGACGTACTAAGAATACCCTGAAGTTGTGTGATGGATTTGTGTTGAGAATACAAGGGATATGTTTGTTCGCGAGTAATGTATAGTCGAGTTCATCCCTTTTAGTGGAAAATTCTTCCGCTTACAACAACTGTCACCCTTGCCCTTATTCTGCATCTCATCTCCTTTCTTTTCAATTAGTCTTTCAATTAGCTGTGCATAATAATGACGGCCTTCGGTTTTGAAACATTTTGATGTTTGGAAAATAGTTTTATATGAATTTTGTGGAAAATTATGTTGCTAGCTAAGTTTTCTGAGCCCCTCGTAATATAATTATATAATGTATTCATAAATATTTCAACTGAAAGTCAGGAATTTCAAAAACTTATGAGTCCATTGATATATCCACTGCTTATAATATTAGAATCATTGTACGTGCTATCATTTTGTTCATTATTTGTTCATTATTAAAACAAACATTAATTATTTAATATTTTATTACAAATTCTAGTAAACATTATAATTAGTACTGGTAAAAGTAGACTTGGCTGATCTTTTAACTTCCATCATAGAATAGACATTTCAAGCGGGAATTAATCTATTTTCAGAAATTGCTATTGAAAGTTAGTTTATTAATAATGTTGACAATAACAAAAAACAAGAAACTACTCGTAATATTGAAAAATAAATTAATTATAATTGTAAAAATAAAATAATTTACCCTGATTCTAGAAAGTTTAATTTCACAAAAAATAATATAAAATTCTCTTCAGAACCCTTTTGAACAAATGAAATTTTCATAAGACAAAAATAGTTGAACATGGACAATAGTTGGATGGAAGGTATCAATTATTGATCTCCATTGAAATCAACTGATTTTCAATTATTCTTGATAAAAAAATTAACAATTCACATATTTTGAAACGATGAAAGATTAGTTTTATTTGAGATGACTTCATTATTACCGTGTATTCCAGTAGACTGTACATTAAAAATTATAGATGATAAGTGGATAAAGAAAGAAACATTTATGGAGATTTTAAATTTCCTCCATAAAGAAAATAGCTACTTCATATTTGAAAATAAAATTTACAGTCAAACTAAAGTAATGCCAATGGGACTACCTCGATCTCTCACCTGTTGTAGCATATATTGTTATGGAGAATATCTTGGACATTAAGATGGACGAAGTTGCTATAAAATCTGATTTTACTAAACAAAAAGAGAATCTGAAAAACTTGCCTATCTTGAAGCAATAGTAATTAGACACAATAATAAACTTAAAATAAATTAGTATCAAAAGCCTCAAACACTGAGCGATATATCAATTTCAACTCTCAACACCCCCAGGGGCGCCTCCCAAAAGTAAAAGGGCGCCAGATCGATGTAAAAAAATAGTTTTCTATTAATATTACTGATTATACCTGAAACAGTTGCTAGTGGAGAAAGGAGGTTTTCAAAACTTAAGCTGAAACCTATCTGCGATCGACAATGTCTCAACCCAAGTTAATAAACTTGGCAACTTTTTCAAAAACGAAGTTCCACAAAACATAAACTTTAATGCAGTAGTAAGAGAGTTTGCCGATAGAAAGGCCAGGAAAGTATAAAATTTTATTAGTATTATTAAGAAAAAATTTTTGAAATTATTAAGAAAGTACACCAGTTTACATGAATATTTGTTTTTGTTATATATAAAGGTTCATTATGCCTTGTTTTTTTTTAAATTTAAATTATTAGTTTTACGTATAGTAAAAAGTATTTTTATGACAAAGTATTATTTTATCATTTCATTACGGTTATCATTCCATATAATTTTTTTTTCCGCTTTATTACATGGTTCTCAATAATAGGTAGGTGACGCCGTAGAAATCTCGCCCAGGGGCACCAATAGTGCTAAAACCGGTACTGGGTATGGTATTTGTGATATCATTAAATTGACATTTGAATATCATGTTTTCAAGCCAAAGGCCGTTATAAGAACTACTTGTAGCTTACCCTCTGAAAGGCCGCTTTTAGTACGATTATCTCTTTTTCGGTAAAAGCCTCCTAAGCTGCATTCAAAATATAAGTTATTATCTATCCCTGAATATTCATAAATGTATCTCTCAATTTTAGAAAATATTTATTATATTTTATTATATCTGTTAATGAAAAACAAATATTCCAAATATTAAAATAATTCTTAAATTGAAAATAAAATATTAGGTACATGATATTTAGTATAAAATATTTGGTACGGAAGTGGAGTAGGTACACTCATTTTGCGTCTCCCAGCTTGTATACCATATGTAAGAACTAGAATGTGAATGAATTATATCTATTTTTTCTGTTATATTATATATATAGTATATCAATCATATTTTTTATATGCTCATTAGAGGATCGATTTATAACTAAGTCTAACATATCATACCCTATCAAAATCGTAAAGGACATTGAGAAATTTTGCGAAGTAGTGGTCAATATATTTAACTGTTATGTAGCTTATTCATTTTAGTAGATTCGTAGCCTATCTTAAATTAGGTACGGAAGGAGGTAAATTAAAAGATCTGTGACAAGAAACTAACAGAATCAATATCTGTTTTACGAATCGTTATAAAAAGAGGCATTTTGAAGCGGTTTGATAATAAACTGAACCAATAATTGCGTTAAAGAATCTGTTAGGTAGATTGGTTAGAATGGTAAGTTTTATATAAATTTGGTTGTAGTTTTATCATTTGTTGGGTAACTATTGTTGGGTGAGAGCATGACCTGTAATAAAAATTAAAATTCTTACATACTTTCCATACGGATGATTTTTCTCCATCATTCATAAATGAGCTTTAAACTAAATTATACTGGTTATACTTTTTTTTTCCGTTATTGTAAAGACAATCAAATAATAGATTCCTGAAAGAGTGAAGTTCTTTGTGTTAGGTGAATAGAAGACGGGCTGATTGAGACCACACTTAACCCTGATATTCCTGTAGCGATCAGCTGTAAGGAATAGTATAACAGAGTAACAGGGGCAAACTTACTCTTATATAATAATGTGGAGTACTATCCTCAGTAGAAATAGTGTATTTTTATATTTACAATAAAAAGAAACTACTTTGAAAAAAACTGTTGTATTTTAAAAATAATTTTCCTTTGAATATAGGGTTATTTACATTTTATGGTTCCAAAATTGAGTCTAAATTAAGTACTCTTATTAATTGATATTTCAATAACATAAAACTTGTATTTCAGGGTTCATTGTTATGATGGATATCAACTTCATATGCGAACGTATATTACTGCTTTCTTCTGATGCAAATTATTTAAAACAAATTTGCTAAATAAATTATGGTACTAAAAGACATACTCCAAATAATTGGTACACCTTCTATGTGCGATTAACTAAATAATGAAATAAAATGCAATACTATCATTTTTTTAAAGTATTATAGGATTATAAGGCATAAAGATCCACCAGAACTTTTCCACAAAACCATTTAAAAGCAAAATCAGTATTTTATTAATATGATAAGGAGATCAAGTCATTATTGAAATTTGAGACAACGCATAAACACTTTCATTATATTAAACTTACTAAACAACACCAGACTGTAGCAAATGGTACTTTTATAGCAAAACCAAAAGTACAAAAGATGCAAAATAGCACTTTGGTGCTGTTTAACACCACATTTTAATTGCACACAAGATTAGGTTCATGGGGACGTGTTTGGTTTCGTAGTAAATCAAATTAATTATAAATTCTTATGAAATTAACTTACGGAATTATCGAAATGCAAGTTCTAATTATATTTTCAGTATTTGATAAAAGATCTAAGCGCCAAAACGGAATGGTGGCTTTGGGTCAACAGCAACTGTGAAACATTACTCATAACATATATGGAATAGTTGACAGGAAAGTTTTTTGAGATATATTTGAACCAACAAAATTATTTGACACAGCCTAGATATCATCTTCTCCATGGCTCAACGCTCTAAGAAATAAAAAAATTATATTGGGGTTAAATTATCAATGTCCATATGAATATTCCATATTTATTTGAATGGCACATAATGAAAATAATTCATATTCTACTTCAAAGATATGAGATAATTTTTTCTATTATATCTACTACATCTTTGTTGCTTTCCTGATATACTTCTCTTACTTTTCTACTTTCTATTATGATATAACCAATTTATATGGACTAATTTCTCACATATATTTAATTTTATTATTTTTCTTTATTTATTTATATGTTTATTTAAATATATATAACAACAGCGTAACGAATCGCTTACTATAACAGGGGTCAGTTAAATTTTAAATGTAAAAAGTCTTGGATTTCCATAGGGTAGAGCTGCTTTTACCGCTATATAAGATATATACTTCTAATTTTTTTCACTTTCTTAAAACCTTTTTAACTCATTGAAACTCTTTCAATTCGATTTTTTTTTTGCATTTTATTAAAATGTTACGAACTGAAAATTTTTGAAAATATATTCATTTCCATTTAACTTATTTAAATATATAAATTCCTTGAATGCATTCAATATCCATTTATTAGTTAAAGAGATTAATTTTGAGTTGACCTTTTTTGAGAATTAACGAAATTGAGTTGGTTCTCTCTATCACATATTTTCGAAATTCACCTTTTAATTTTTTATTTATTTAAAGTCGTTCACATTCATGACAAGACATTCACATTCTTCATATAGTAGAAACGGATCCAGAAATTCATACACCAAGATTTTTATAATTTTAGGTATTTCAGATTTCATTAGAACACGTTTAAGTATTTCTTCTTTTTGGCATGATTTTTTTTTTTTTACTTATCTTCAAATTCTTTGACAGAGCCTTCTTTCTTCCAGATTGTTGTCGTTTTCTAGGCGAATTTTTTACCAATGGCTTTCGTTTGGCGCCTTTCATCCCCAATTCTTTTTGGCTTTCCGCAATAACCTTATCCTTTTTGGGTCTGCTTTTTACCGGAGACTTCCGTCTTCGAGACATCAAGGCGCCCAAAGTTGGTCTTTTCTTGAGGACTCGTCGTTTTGGAGTTGCTTCCGATAACAAATTCATCATTGATTGTTTCATTGCGATCTTATATTTATTTTGATATATTCTCTGAATGTATCCACGTTCCGTTCCAGCTAAGATAGCATTTACAACTTCATCTTTACACGCTTTTATGCTTATCTAATTAATATTTTTTCAAAAGCATTAATAATAGATTTACAATTAAAGATGTATAATATAAATAATGGTTAAATAAATCGGTTAATATATATGAGAATATTTGCAACCACAACATACTCGTATTCCTGTATTTTTTATGCTTGCATATCAGACTTACAATAGCATTTGGACATATTGGCATTGTTGTTACATATAGTAAGTCGTAGTCTGTGACAAAATATCACTGCATCTTTAAAGGGAACCTGATATGATTGTGGACTTCATTGCCGAACACTTAGATTCTAATTTAATAGAAAATTTAGAAAAATTAATTCTAGAAGGTTCAACACTGCACATCTCAGAACTGCTGTGTTTGAAATATATTAGAATATTGATTATGCAGTTAATATTTTCGGATTGGGTGACTTCCGAATTAATGTATCAAAAACAAACTCAAAAAAGAAAATGTGTAAATATTAACTTTCCTTGAAGCTGTCTATATAATAGTTGTCGGGAAATTGTTGCTCAAAGCAGAAAAGATTTCTATATTATAGAAATATATTATATTTGTTTAATGTATTCATCAAATGCTACAAGATGGCGTCGAACTTGCGTTAGCATCACATTGATGTCTTTATTTTTACTATAACATTTCTAGAACTTTTCTACATGAGATCAAATGTGTTGACAACTATTGATTATTTATCCCACTTGTTAAGAGAAAATATGAAAATATGAACAGCCCCACAGAAGTTGCAGAAGTCGATTGAATTTAAACTAGAAAAATCATCAGTTAGAGAAAAATAGACTGATTAGGTTGTATTGTAGTTTGTTCACAAGCGCAACTATTTCAATTACTATTGTCTTGGAATTAAGTCTGATATGAGCATACGCATGCTATTAATGATATCACATGGATTCAGAGATTAATATTTTATTAACCTTTTGTTGAACTTGGTTATGAAACTCTGAAAAATTGATGACATACTTGAAAGAATATGAATAGAAAGAGTTTCCAACGACACCTCCAATATCGTAAAATGTCTCATAATACTATATTTGCTTTAGGGTGATAACTCCTATATATACTCAGTGCATATTCATCACATATTAAATTATATTAAATGAATATTAAACAGTTATGAAAAAAGGATAACAAAATATTTAAGAAAATATTTGATATTTGAAAAAAAATTTTTGAAATTTGTGAAAATGTCAAAAAATTTTATTTTGTCAAAGAAAATATGTCAAATGCGATTTTAAGCTATAGGTCAACAAAATGGAGGGTTTCTAGCTCCTAGGTAGTTAATAGTTAATTAATAATTCCATCTCTTAAACTTATAACTTACTCCTTTCATAAGCGCCACTTTCGCGATAATCTCCCTCTGGGTTGATTGGTAAGTGGTTGCTTCGCATCTTTTAAGATCTTTGTGATTATAACACCAGCCATGTTGTCATAACGTAATAGTTTAATGCGATTATTGTATTAAATAAAATACTGACTTACTCAATATGAAACAAAAAAATTTAGACAAAATGTTCCAACAAAATACGAACATTCCACAATAAGTTTAAATAAAAAATAAAATATTTGGTATACCATATGATTGTTTTTAATATTTCAAAGCATACTTTATACATTAAATTCTATCTAAACCCAAATTTAAGTTTTCCGAATTTTCTAAATTTTCTGAATAATGTCACCTATTGATAACAATGGGTTATCAAACATTGAATTTTTTAAGAAAAATTTATGAAAGTAAATAGATTGTTTTCAATATTCTCTTAAGAGGAAATATTTTTAAACTGAATTGAATAATTAATTTTGAATTATACTTAATCTATTTTAAAATAAACTCCAGAATGGCCAAATTCTCTCCAGTCTCTTAACTTTGCCATGTGAAGCCTAAGTCCTTTCGAATTAAATCTATAAACTGTATGTCCACTACCACATCGCCGATAAAATGTTTTTCTCTGCAGTGAATACGTTGTGTATATTAAACATTATACTGTGTTTGAATAAAATGACCTATTTATTCTGAATTAGTGTAGTTTTCGAAACAACTTAATTAATCAGATTAATCAGATTAATTAATCAGAAAATATTTCAAAAAGTCTTCTCTTAAGAATCTTGTAGGTGTTATATTTCTGATACTTTTATTATGGTGCCTTTCATCTTTTAATTATTCTCTTAGTCCGTATTTTTTCGAAATTCAGTTTTGAGAGTTTTTTTAATTGGTCAAAATAAATATTCCGTTCAAGCGCTGCGTCCAAACTATAAATAAATATTCACTTTTGTCAGTCCAATTGAAATACTTGAAATTAATCGAATTTATTTGGTGAAGTTTCAGACTTCTTTCATTTTTATATAGATAAAATTGATCTTATTTTACTGACTAACAAAGTATTTGAATATTATTTGAAACATGAGTAATTGTTATAAATATGCATAAAAATTTACATAATATATGCACGATAGATGAATATATACATCATCCAAAATCTATTAAAAGCACATGTGATGAACGAACTGAGAAACTATGGAAACGAGCGATAGTACTTATTAGTTTATGAGCCAGCCAAAAACTCTAGAAATCAAAGTCCTACGACCAATCTTTTTGAAATTAATTTTAATAGTTTATATAAAAGCAGTAGTTTATATAAAAGAAACTTACTTCATTAATATGCCTTCCTCAACTAATTCTGTCCGAGTTTGGAATAAAAATTAAAGATTGATGTAAGCTATATAAATAGTAAAAACTTAGTTTTTGCTAGTAAACTAGAACTCCAGAACAGTAGTGAACTCCAGAAAGTGATGAATAAAATTAAACAATACTCCATTTTAGTATTAGAAATCTTAGAAGACTTAGTAGACCAGTGGTTATGAGAATATAGGTTAAAACCTTGGTTTCCGTAATGCGTTTTTGAATTTATTGAGACTCATTTCATAACCTAGCAGGTAATTGTTTTCTAAATTGAATAAAAGATAGACACTACTGGCATAAAAACGGGTATGAGCACTTTAAGTGACTGATTAAGTAATTTAGTGTATACAAGTATTTACACATAACGAAATTCAATACAGTTTCTGTAATTCTCTAGCCCTTCAGATTACATTAGTCTGCAGCTACGAATTTTCATAGACGAAAAGTTCAAAAGTCCACGAAATAAAAAGGATTTCATTTCTTAATGTACCGTTTTGTTATTATTTTCTATTATAAATTGGAAACCTGTTATCTATACTGTTCAATCGAAAACCCTTTATATATTCCCCTACTTCTTTGATATATATTTTCGAATTATAGAGGATTATATAGAAATGAAAGCTGAACATAGTTCAAATATTTTAAGAGACATGATGTTAAGACGACTTCAATACGAATACCTTATCTGGTTAAGTATAATGGATTACACCAGATAAGCTTTTTTTTAACTTATAATTATATTTTTTATAATCCAAAAATTGACTGAAAATTTCGAAAGTTATATTGAGTTTCAACAAATGAGCAGGGATTAAATATTCTTCGAAAGATACCGAAACTGAGCAAACTAAAACAAAACAAAATTAATATGTATAAGTCACATATTTTAACAGGGCTAGAGCGTTAAATAGTAAAAAGCTCAATGATCTAAAAGGAAACTAATAAAAATTACAAATCCCAGGCATCATGATTACTGCTTAATAAAAGACAAATGATTTTAGTTGGTAACTGAAACGCGTGTGATTTTTCCAGTCCTTATGGTGATTCAGTTCCAAAAGAAGCTTAGATGAAACCAGTAATATTTAGTAATATTTGAATAGAAACTGGATTACAATCCAATTTACCAGAAACGCGCCTCACGGTGCACTTATTGACGTCATCACCTACAATTTAGATGAAATTTCTTTTATGAGAACCTTCTTTTAAATAAACAACCTAGTTTCTCTAGAAAAAAATTTTAAAATTTTACATATACGAACCCATGCTCATTTATCCGCCTGTGTAAATGATAGAGGCTTAATGGTAGAGCTTTTTGTCTTGTAAAGACAATTGATCGAATAATTCAGGAAAAGTTTAAAAAATGTATACTGTTTATATTTGAAAAAGATGTATTAAAAACGGATTAATTTTTTAATTTTAACAATGTGATTTGAACAGTGAACTATTTAAGGCAACACTAAGAATAATTTTCGTGTCAGTGTTTTATGTAAACTTGGTTGGATAATTAGGGTATTTGCTAGAACCATGGTTCATAATTTCTGTAAATAAATTAATATGAAATAAATTATTTTGATTAAAATATTTAATAAATTTTTTATAAACTTTACATACATCGCTTGCGTTGCTAACTTTTTTAGTCTGCCATTCCTGCTGATCTACCGGGCAAATAGAATTCTTCTCCAGCCAAGGCAATATGCAGTGCCAATGGAACGCATGATTACACTTACCCCATACTACAAAGCATTTGTAATCATCAATAGTAACCATTTGTGCCTGACATTCGTTACATAAATCCGATAACAAATTTCGACAAATCGCACATTTTCCTTCAGGTTTATTCGCACAACATGTACTAGAATTGTCCCATTTTTTACAAGATAAATATTCATTAGCAGACTTTGAGCTACATGTTGGATTGTCATCACTGCTTAATGCCTCTTCTGCAACAGTATCTCTATTTTTGTTACTAGAACTTGACACCTGATATTCTTCCACGTTTCTCGACATTTTGAAACGTGGACTTTTTTTATCAGTAAATACTAAGAAAATTTTTAAACCAAGATATCAAGAATTTTGTTGATTGATATATAATTTGAACACAAAAGCCTACATGGAGAAAACGAAATGTGTAGCGATTCACACCGCCGGATATGGCTAAATTCTTAATTAATTTTTTATCTTTATACAAATTTTTTATATGAACTCTAAAGATAAAAGTATAATATATATTTCAATAAGAACTTATAAAACCAAGATATACTGATTGGAAATTCTTCAGCATTTTTTCAAGATCCACAACACAACGATAACCTTTTATAATATTGGGACATTTTATCCAAAAATTTTGAAAATGTCACAGTGCTACAAAAAGGGAGGTTTTTTTAGTCTTTATATATCTGAATCTACATTAATCACACGTTTGATAACTAAAAATACTACTACGACTCTCACCCCTATTTTAAAAATGGACACCAACATGTTCAGATGTTGTGAAAGAAAGTATTGAAATATCTCCCATGCTTGTATCTTGCGATATCTAAGAAACGAATGGTGCACTTTTTTTCGGCTTTGATTGGTTTGCAACCAAGTTACGCACCAGGCTTGGAAATAAACATAATCTAAACGGTAAGCGGTTAGTTCAAGGAACTTGGATAGTACATTAGATCTCATAGTTCGTAATTACTTTTAATACCATAATTACTATGATCCTACCAATGATAACAACGTGTGTGTTTTCATTTATCTAATCATATTACTATATGCTTTATGCTACTTAACATGCTTTAATCCTTTTTTTAGTTCTTTTTTCGTCCAGTGTCAAAAGTTGGGGAACAATGTGAATACCTCGGATTACTAGAAATATTTAGATTTAATAATACACCAGTTAATTCATTCAGCATTTCTATTTTGAGTTTACTTGGTGGACGCGGTATAAGTACCTCATGTAATTAAATGCGGCTCTATTTACTACGCCCCCAACTAGAATATTAAAGAACCCAATGATCTATGGGTGCCAGTTGATTTAATATTTTTTATTACTATTTCATTATTGGATTATTGGCCTCAAACTCAAAAACAATTGTTTGAAAATGTCTCATGTCTTGTTTGAACGATTTAAGCAACATAAGATAAGCGTTGAAGTTTGTACACATAGTAGTTCCTTAGCAAAACGTTTAAGTACTGGAGTAACTCTAGTTAATACTCAACATATAGTGTTCTTATGTCTATTGTATACGTGACTACAGACAGTTTATAAATAGAAAATGATTAGCATTAATCGATTATCTGCCAGCTGGCCTATTATTATAGTATATCATATAAGCTTAAATCAGAAGTATCACAGTGGACCCTGAGAATTTAGGTGAGTTAGTAAACTAAACTGATTGCCATATCAATCTACTTTCCGTATGTCATTGTTGTGTCGTTATGAGACTTTTCGATGTCTAGTATGAAGATGTAGTAGACATTATTCAAAGATCAATATGATGGTGCCGTATGAACAGTAACTAGTTCATCTTTATTAGTATGGGGTAGAGGAGTAAAATTATATCGTTGCAACATAATGTCATAATGTATTGTTCAAATTTAAAAACTATTTGTTTTAAAATAAATTTGAATTACAATTACTTTATAAAGTTTAAAGCAATTTCTGACGTTAAGTACAATTTTTAAGGTGAGGATTTGCTGGCAATATCGTAAAAAAAATTTCAGAATCACAAGTTGTAAGCTTGTGAACCCATGGTAGTACCAAGACAATGACTAGGATACTTTGGGATGCAGATTTATAAAACACTTATTAGTTTAAAAAAACACTTCTCCAAATTTCTATAAATAAATGTTGATTTTCTAGTTCTCAATAATGCTTAATTTTTTATGGTCAATATATTTATTATTTAACTTTGATCTTTTATGAAAACCACAGGACTACTAAGATAAATTCAAAATGCTGACCAAGTAATATCTGCTTGCGTGCCGCACATATCGACATCCCTATAACGTCATGTTTAGTAGAGCTCTACCTCCAGGATATATATCAATACATATTCTATTGGAATGGAGTTAGCATCAGTAAGATTGAAAATTAACGATATCTTATAAGCCTTCACACAAACGCAGTAGTACCCTCTCCGCAACCACATTGTAGTGCAACAAAATTCTCAAAATGCACCTGCCTAACATTCCCCAGGAAGAACGACGTCTCTCCCATAACTATCCTAGCGCAGTTGTGATCAAAATGTAGCCATGTACTAAACGGTAATCACTCATAAACGCATCAATTGCCAAAGTGTGCCCCAACTGCAGCTCTACCCTCTATGATGGAGCGCTTTTGTTTCCGACCCCATCTGGGTCTTACACAGCCATTAGCTATCTACATCGTAGCTAATGTATTTGTCATGAAAGGAATTATTTCATATTATTTATTATTTCATCTGCTTTACAGATGCCCGCGGGCTATTACACAATAAGAGTACTACATATTAATAACATCGAAATCAGTCTAGATAGATAAATATAATAAAAAAAATGTATTATATATATTGATTTAAATTTCGGTTTTACAATTTAGTACAGAGGTTTCGAAAAGTAGGGAACCATAGTAGTTGTATGTTCAGCCAGAAATCAAATTGAAATATTATATATATAAAAAAAAAAAATTTGTTTTTTGTTTATTTATTTATTTTAGCGTTTATTAAATTTGTTAAACGCCATTTGAACTTTCTGAAAATAAAATCATACTATATTTCATAAAATTGAGTATGACATTTTAGGTTTATATGTGTTAAAACTTAAATAACAAATTACGAAACGTATCTTAATAAAACACTTACAAACTAGTTATTCTATAATTATTACTATAACTTCTTAACTAACCTAATATAAGATGCTCATATAACTTTTTACACGATATTCATAGAAGTTCAATTACCATTATAGATTTAATTTCTCTTAATACAACTATACATTTTATATATGTAGAAAATATGTACGATTACGATTTTAACTTTTTTTTATTTTTTTACATAAAATGTTCAATTTGCTTTTATTGTTGCTTACTATTGTTGCTTACTATTGTTGCTTACTATTGTTGCTTACTATTGTAGGACAGCCATAACTTTCCACTGCTTACTTGGGAGAAGATTTTCCGAATTGCTATATACCAAAATCTTGTGTCATTATTGATTATGGATTATTGTTGTAGTTAACTAGACAGTTTGGACCTTAAACTGGTAGCTGGTAACCGATAATTGTTGATAACTGGTAACTGGTAACTGCTGCTTACTGCTAAATTCTGGCCCACCCGAGTAACTGGCATTTCAGCGTGTTTAACAATCACAGCGGCAAATAATATTTTCTACTCTCAGCAAAATTTATAAAAAGATAAAAACATATTAGTATATGAGTTACATAATAACTCATTTTAAAAAACAAAAATCATTTAAAATTTTTTTTAATTACATAAATTTTTGTTACAAACAAAAATAATGAACTGAAGAAGCTTTTTAATATTAATTGTTCTGATGCATAAAATTGTAAATTCTGTTTAAAACTTATTAAGATACTCTATTAAACTAGAGTATACGAAGATATACACCCCTATTCTGAATCACATTGAAATGGAAGTTTTGTTTCCTATTCCCAATTCCATTATTCCGAATTAAATGGGAATGGAAATTTTTTCCCTATTTAGCACAAAATTTTTCCTAAGCAAATTGTGTGGGAAATAAGTTCAAAAAAAAAAAAAGAGTTAACAAGTTTAAAACTAATATGTAAGCAACTTATAATCAGATTTTTGAATACATTTTAATAAAACTATTATTATAATAAAATTATTTTTATAATAAAATTATTATTATAATAAAATTATTGTTATAATAAAATTATTATTATAATAACATTATTTTTATAATAAAATTATTATTATAATGAAATTATTATTATTATAATGAAATTATTATTATTATAATGAAATTATTATTATAACAAAATTATTTTTATAATAAAATTATTTTTATAATAAAATTATTATTATAATGAAATTATTATTATAATGAAATTATTATTATTATAATGAAATTATTATTATAACAAAATTATTTTTATAATAAAATTATTTTTATAATAAAATTATTATTATAATGAAATTATTATTATAATGAAATTATTATTATTATAATGAAATTATTATTATAACAAAATTATTTTTATAATAAAATTATTTTTATAATAAAATTATTATTATATATAATATTTTAAATGAAATTATTTTTATAACAAAAATTATTTTATAATAAAATTATTTTATAATTTAATTATTATTATAATGAAATTATTATTATTATAATGAAATTATTATTATAACAAAATTATTTTTATAATAAAATTATTTTTATAATAAAATTATTATTATAATGAAATGATTATTATAATGAAATTATTATTATAATACAATTATTATTATAATAAAATTATTATTATAATAAAATTATTATTATAATGAAATTATTATTATAAAAAAATTATTATTATAATAAAATTAATATTGTGATCAAATTATTATTATAATGAAATTATTATAATAATACAATTATTTTTAAAATAAAATTATTATTATAATGAAATTATTATCATAATACAATTATTATTATAATAGAATTATTATTATAATAGAATTATTATTATTATAATAGAATTATTATTATTATAATGAAATTATTATTATATTAAAATTATTATTGTATTCAAATTATTATTATAATAAAATCACTATTATAATGAAATTATTATTATAATACAATTATTATTATAATACAATTATTATTATAATACAATTATTATTATAATAAAAGATAGAGAGAAAGAGAGAGATCGAGCTTAGAAATAGAAGAATAATTCCTATTAATAAATAAAATATTTTACTTTATTTTATTGTTTACAGGAAAAAAAATAAATTATGATATAAATAATTAAAATAAAAAATAATAAAAATAAAAAATCTTTATTATTTACTTATGAAGTATTCATTATATCATTTTTGATATTTTGTGCTACACATATATAATGTGATTTTTAAATTTAACTCAACATATAATACGCAATTCTTTATAGTTACAAAGTGCTATAGTTGCGAAAGTGCAACGAAACCAATTTGAATTTTTTTTTTTTTTGTTCCCAAAACAACTGTTTCCCAAGCAATTCAGAATAAGGGAGTTCTATTCGAGGGAATAGGGTGACTTATTCCCTGGGAATATTCAGAATAGGGATGATAGTTCAAAATTTAAAATTAGAATGAAATAGGTAGATTAAATTATATGTATAATAATAAATTCATTTAAGGACATAATAAAGAGAAACAAATGTGTTAGCATATAAAGGAACATTTGGGAATTTCTTTCTTTTGTTTTTTGTGAGGTTTAGGCTTATGTTTCAAATGAATTCGTTTCATAACATCATTTTAAAAGATTCACTTTTTCACTTTTTGTTTTCTGTGTTAGTATTAAGTTTTTTATATGCAATTATATGCAATATAATTTTTCTGCAGTTAAAATTTACATTAGCTTCAAGAAGCAAACGCATATTTATAATTCTTTAGATGATCTGGAACAGCACCAATAGAAGTCCAGCGAAGTTGTTAAAGTTAAACAGCAACACAGGCAATTGCAACAATTCCGCTGTTACTTGATTTTCTGAAATAAGCATTTCATCTAGGGTACAGTCCTTCATTCTGTCAGCTCAAAATAGTTTCAACTCTACGTTATTGTAAATGCAGTTGAAATTTTAACGCTGCATAACGTAACTATGCTTCTACGTCTTTTATGTATTTATTTAGTGTAGTTATTGAATATTCATATTTTCATTTGTCCTTCGGAATACTTCATATTTCATATTATCAAACTAATAGTTCCTTTCCTAATAGTTCAACCGCAATGCAATATTAGTTTTCGCTAAGCACAGTAGAATTTTTTGTTTTGAAATTTGTTCATCATGGAATCCGTAAGGTCTCTCCTTGCTCAACATGCAAAAGATATTGATTTAACCATTCAGAATTTCATTCAGTGCACTCCTAACTCCAGCCCGAACGCCACGCATTTTTAATAATTTTTTTTATACGAATTTCTTTTATAATATAATTCTTATAAAAAAGCCTCAAATTTAAATTTTTAGACGCACTTTCATCAATTTTAATATTAATGGATTTGAATTTATTTTTCTTGCTTGTATAACGAAACAATCCACATCGACCTTATTTTGAATTTTTACACAGAAAGTTCATAACCAAACAGATATGCATACATACACATATGTATATATTACTATATGCATTATAACCATGTATGCATTATATATGCATACATATGTACACGCACGTCTATATAACTTATAATGTATGTACACACATATATATATTGATTTGATCATTTGTATGTAACATTACAGCGATATTCGGATTTTCATTTACTCTCAAGTCCAGTATTATTTTCTGTTAGATCTCTGGCAAGGTCCATTAACTTCACTATATTCTTCTATTTTTGCTAATATCAACTTCTTACTAATTAATCACTTGGTTTGTCTAAAAAGTTCGTTATAAAAAAGTAAAGCCCATAGAGGTGTTAACACTGATTTTAATTTACTGCATTTTCTAATTATTTCAGTTTAGAAAATATCTTGTAGGTTTTCATTATTGAGAGAGAGCGCATTGATGGTTTGTTTTATATATGAATTTTGATAACGAAATTCACTTTGTTCAGTTTTCATTAAAAAATATAATCCACTTTGGAAAGACGTTTCTACCACATTTAATTCACATATAATTTTGAGTTTTTGATTTTCCCTATACCATATCTCCAATCATAATATTTCTGGATATATGATTGAATATATATTATGTATTATTTTTTTTATTTATACCAATAATGGCGCAGATTTGCAATCGATTTGTGCTTCTGTCGGTCCAACAAGTGGTATATTTAAGCTAAGTAACCACTCTTTACACTTTTCTATACTTTCAAATGCTAAGGACTCAGAAACGTATTCGATGCTAATAGTGGGTCGATATCTGAAAATAAAAAAGTTTTATATGTACATTAAAAATTATTATAAAAACCTATGTTCACATAAATATATATAAAATATTATGGAATATATATATGTAGTATAACTGAAATATATATGTAATATAAATTTAATAAAAATATATAATGTAAATTTAAAAAAGAATGTATATATATATAAAACAAAAAAATACATATAAAAAACCAAACAAACAAATACATATAAAAAAACAAACCAAAAAATACAAATAAAAAAATCAATACATATAAAATCAATATACATCAATATACAAAATCAATATATATCAATATATAAATAATAAAAAAAACAAACAAAATAATAAAAAACAAAAAATAAACAAGGGAAAACAAAACAAACAAACAAAATAAATAAATAATCAAAAAAAAAAAACGAAATAAAAAATAGATCAAAATATTTAAAAAAAATAAATTTAAAAACTAAATAAATTTAAAACAAAAAAAATTAAAAATAAAATATATTAAAAAAAAAAAATTTTTTAAAAAATAAATATTATATTTTATTTTATTTAGTTATGTCGATCGAAACCGCCTGCCTATTTAATTAACATATTTGATAAAGAGGTTTTTCGAACAGTAGTAAACTACAACAACAAAACTTTATTTAATATTATTTTTAATTATTTGAATATTGAGCTGACCATAGCGCTGTTTCAAGTATTGCCAAATACCCATCATCAGTGGTCTTGGAATTATTTATTTTATTTAATTATTCGTAAATAATTTTTTGGGATTTCAAGTACCAAAAATTGAACTCGTACCCTGCCAAACTTGAAACTCAGAGTCAGCGTTAATTAGCCAACTGACCCAAAGCCGTACTTGACTTTTATGTTCGTACATTTTTCTGGAGTTTTGTTACTTGCGTGAAAGTTTTATTAACAAATTCACTTGATTTGTTATAACGAAGTCATAAAGTAGCTGCACAATAATTGAATTAATTAATTATATTTTTATTTTTAATTGTTACATTTCAATACTATTATGTTTGAAGAGGCATTATTTGTTGCATGATTTATAATATATTTGTCAACTAACAATTGAAACTCGAGAAAGACAAATTGAGACAAAGTTAGAAATATTTTAGTTTATGGTAGTTGATTATTGATTTAAACATATAATTTTGTCATAATTATATTTTGGTTGTAAAAATTGTTTATTATGATAGACTTACGATTTTATAATAATTTTCAATGCTTCTTTGCGCTCTCTTTCAATGAACCAATCAACCAAATATCCTGCCATCAGTGGAGCTGCTGAATACAATTTAAACATCTTACAATAGTTACCCAAAGCCCACGCACTACGAAATTCTAAAGCAAATTGAATTACAGGATTCTCGCGATCAGCTTGTGTAATTGTTCGTAATACAGTAGACGTGTCTGTAATAATGATTTTAAATTAATTAAAAACAACAAAAAAAATTAGTTTAAATTTTAGTTTTAAAATTAATATGGAACGTCATAATTGAATTAATAGTCGAGAAGTCATATATTAAAATATGTTTTTTAGAATGTGTTTTTTAAAAATATATTTATCAATAATTACCCATCATATTGTACTACTTACCTAACGTATTTTTAGTAAATATATAGTACAGTATACGGTACGCTGTAAATTCAATTGCGTTTTTATTCGAATCTTCAACTTCAGTATAAAGCATCTTCAATTGTGTTTGGCACTGATTGAACTCTTCGTGGTCACCTTTTTCCATTGCAATTCGTGCATGAGTTTCGTATACCTCAACAGTAAACTTGTCTCGTATACCTTGTACCTGTAAAATGTATAATTCTGATTAGATCATATCTTACGGATTAATGTTTTTCAATTTTACTGTTAAATCCTGACGTATTGATTTAAGCTGATCGCAAGCATAAAAATAGTCCTGATTTTTCCGCCATTTTTCCTTCACGTTAGCCAATGAATGTGGCAACACCTCAATGGGCCGTACTTCACATGGTAATGGTGCTTTAGTTAAACGCAGGAACGATTTTTCTAAATCCCTACAGGTCCCTACAATATGTAAGTCGAATAAATCTAAACCGCTATCACCAACCGAACCGTCAATATCTATACAGATGCGCGCATTTTTAAATTTAGTTTTAACATGAGGTAAACTCTTTTGATGGTTAGGTGTATTACCGTTTAAAGAACTTGCTACCTTAGGTATTATCTGTTTTGAATTATTTTGAGAGAAACGAGCTGCACGTTGTTGTAAACGAGCACTATCATCTTCAATATTTCCACCAATCGAAGAAGAATAAAATGGCGCTTTAGATTTGTTAACAGATGAAGTATTTGAAACATTTTTATTTTTGTGTTTTCCTTTTTTATTATGTTTATTTTTTTTACTAGATGTGAGGGGTATATAACTATCAGTTGAGCGTGGACTGCTTGACGTATTACTAGAACTACGACGCGACTTTCGCCGAGGACTACCCGACGGACTACGAGAATGTGAAGTACGTTTATTAAACGAAACCGGCGATCTATGTATATAATGAAAAATTAAAAACATTTTTATCAGTTAAAAACTTTAAAATTCTATATAAATATCATATACTTACCGAGATCTACTTCTAGACATTCGAGCATTTTTCTGGAAACCACCAAATGAACCACGTTGTCCTAACCTTGCATTTAATCTACGTGATAGGCCTTTGTGTTTCTGACTTTGTGGTGATACATTGTTTAAGTGTTGATTACTTTTATCAGGGGTCGATTTGCGTTGCAATTGTTGTTGCTGTTGAAGTGGTTGGGAAGATAATGGCTTTAACTGTAAATTTATATGATTACGTTCACTATGTACACTAGGTACAGGTTCTTTATCCCAATCTCGTGTCCATAACTCATTACGATTAGCAGCTGCAATGATTTTCCCTTTAAGACAAATATCTATCTGATCTCTGTCTAAATCTGTTGAACATTTAGCATAGCATCGCTGCACATACTTGTTCAGAGAATCAGGCCAAGAGTCATTTGGATTATTAAAGGGATTTGGTTTTATAAACCCTGTTGAATTCTGATTTTGTTGCGAAGGCTGATAGTGTTCGACAACACTAGACGTTTCATGACTAGAAGCATTTAAAGAAACAGAGCTCACTGCATTACCTGTACCTAAGTTGTTAGGAAGCATAGGAGGTGGCTTTGTGAAGTCTGGTGGCAATGGTACAGCAATTGGAGGAGGTACTGACGTGTTTATAAAACCATTACTCGGTCTACTACCGAAAGAATTATTAAAACTAACAGTTTGTGACTGTTCTTGTTGCTGCATTACTAATGGAGGCGTCGGTGTAATAGAAGGTGTCATTTGAGTTTGTTCTTGTGGTATATATGCTTGCTTTTGTGGTGACTGCTGTTGATTACCTTTGTTTTTATTACGTTTACGTTTTTTCTTTCCATTATTATTGCCGGTACTAAGATTATTATTGTTGTTATTATTATTATTGTTGTTGTTATTGATGTTATTAACGTTATTGTTATTTGTATTATTAAAGAGTATATTATTAGCCGGAGTTTGTAAAGGATTTGGTGCATTGGCCAAACGCTTCTGTTGATTTAAATTAAAGCGTATACCTCCAAATATTTTAGAACCCTGCGACTGCGGTATATTATTACTTTTCCCTGTTGTATTTGGCAATGGTGGTGGAGGACCAGCTGGTAGAGGCGGCAAATTTTTATCATGTTGCATATTTGCTGGATTTACCCCATTAAGTGAACCAACCATCATTGGAAGAGATTGTTGCAACTGTTGTTGCTGTTGTTGCGACGGTTGCTGTTGCTGTTGCTGCATGGTGCGCATATAGTACTGATAGTATTGACTGTATTGCTGTTGGTATGCTGGATTTTGGTTTGAATACCAAGAATTACCATAGCCATTGGGCCATTGTTGTTGATTTTGGTTGTTAACCGCCATACCATTGTTAGATGGATGTTGCGATTGTTGCATTTCTTGCAGTTGGGGTATTAGTGAAGCAGCGGATAACGCCTTCGACATTATATTTCAAAATCAATGCGTTTAAACGTCCTTGAACATGTACACGAAACCACACACAAAGTCCGTACGAATATTAAACTTACCTTTTTTATGTATTTAATTCTTAGAACACGTATTCAAACTAAAAAAAATGTAAAAAAATACAATTAGCAAAATATAAAATAATGAGCAGAAATATGTAAAAAAAAAGTATCGATCAATGTCCGCCATCTTGTTTTCACTCACATTTTTCATTCACTTATTAAAATTATGCTGTCCGTTTCACAAAAAATTTTACATAAAAATATTTATATTCATATATATATAAACAAATTTTTTTTATACTTTAAATTTAAATGAAATATTTACTTTTCCTAAATTCAATAAAACATTTCAATGATTTAATTATCACTGCACCTCAGTAAAATGATGAAAGTGACGTAAGTATTTCACTACGAAATTATTCACAGATACGCAGAGTTGCAACTTTCAAAAATGTACGGAAATTAGTTGAAAATGGAAGAGATGCATTTGAGATTACCTTTATAATATACATATACTATACGTTAATGTGTATAAAATATGTTTCAAATTATTTAGGCCTTGTGCGAATTCAAGTAAATTGATGGTAAATTGAGGGAAATAGTAAATTATGTCGGTATGGTAACGAATATTGGTATTTACCAGAATAAATAAATATTTACATAAGTGCAATACAAAAAAACCCCTGGGAAATTTTAACTTATTTTACCTCAATTTACTCGAACTCGCAAGCGGTCTTAAAACGACATTTGTTAAATTAATAATATGTTTACATTACGAACTTTGCTAAAGTTGATTTACCGTTTACATTATCGTTTCGGATTTTTGTTTTGATAATTGTTACATTTTTTAATATATTGATAAACAATCAGCTGGAAGCTAAATATTCAAAAATTTTATTATTTTGTTAAAAAAATGAAATAACAGAAATGCATATTATTTATAGAATTTTTAAAAATTTTTCGATTTGTATGTAAACATTAAAGTTTATTTTTAGAAAAATCTAGAAACGGTACCAATTTGCACGCAAATACTCCTAATACAGAATTAATTAAGGCAGTAAAGAACACAAAACTAGAGTAGTACGATATTGTGAAATTTAAAATCAAAGTCAAGCTTCAACCAGAGTAAATTTCATTATAAAAAATTTTAACTTCCATAATATAGAAAATATGTTCAAGAAAAAGAATAAATAAATATCATTTCAATATTTTTATAAGTCAATAAATCACAATCCAGCTTCCACATCAACATTGCTAACTTGGCATTAGCAATATATTATTTTTAAAGTCTATCAAAGTTCGAAGTTTGTTGTGCCTATTTTTATATAGCAAAATCGACTTTGGTTGCTGGCTTTGCACTCAAAGTCGATTTCCAATCGAATTTTTCCTCCAGTAAAGTTCGTAATGTAAACCCCGTATAAGATTGAAGCAAAACATTTAAAAAAAAAATTATGTAAGACAGCTTACACGAGTCCCAAAGTGATTCTAAGAACCATTAAATAATTTTCACGATCTATATAAAACAGGCTAGTGTTTAGTCGTTTGAGAGTATAAATTGATTTCAATGTGTGAATTCAATATTGTATAGACAATATATGTGGATTATGTACTTGTAATATCTAGTACAGGTTTGTCTTAAAGTCTTAAATATTTTTTTTTTGTAGTTGTGTAGAACATTTTATAAAGTTAAAATATATTAATTAATTAAGAACAATTATTAATATATATTATATAAAATGATTTTTGCATTTCAGTAGAATATATCATGAAGTTAATATATAGTTGTCTTAAAATAAATTTTATAAACAATTTATTTAGTTTAGTTAAGTAATATTAAAAGACACTTTTAATATGTGTACATAGCGCTTAAAAGCATTTATTTGCACTAAAATTTTAATTCAGTAGTTTAAGTATACGAAAAATGGTTTAAAGTAAAACTTATTTAATAGTATACTCACATTGTACAAATAATCTTAATTTGAATTGCAATTCTTCACTACAAAAATCTCCTTCAAATTAAAATGATGTAGTATTTTGATATATTTAAACAAAATCGAAATTAAGTGTTATTATAGTAAAAATAAATAAAAGATAATATTATAATTACAAAGATAATTACTGCAATAATTAATATAACTTGTGCAATTTCAATAAATTATAGTACATTTACACTGTCTCATTTAAGCACTTCCTCATTTATATTAATGAGTGAACATTCACTTTAAATGAGCTTATATATGCAGCTGATAGAATTTTTGTGAACTTCACTTAATATATCACACAAAAAAATTAAATATATAATCCATATATTATATCATTTGTATACATGTCATATATATCAATACATATACATATACATATTCAATTAATGAAAACAAAGATTTTATTATATATTTACCTCTTCAGTGCCATTATTTATAGCTCAGCTATTCCTTGTTTACATATAACATGAAACATATAACACATTACAAATATTGATTATTTCCCTTGTGGGAAATTTATTTTTAAGGGATGATTTATTGGTAATAAACTAATTTATACGGAAGCACTTTGTTTGGTTATTTATTCTTATTAGCAGCTATAATGAGCAAAACTAAATAATATTAATATTAAATAAAAAGATGTATGAAAGGATTATTTAAGGGTTCTTAAAATCATTTTAGGACTCGAGTAAGCTTTCTTAAACAAATCTTTCTTAAAATAACTTTTAAGATTAATAAACATAAATAACAAATAAATAGTTTTAAAATTTGAGGGTCAGCTATTAGCTGACAGAAACCTTAGTGCCTTTTATTATGCAAACAAATTCTGAATGAAATTTAGGCCCGATTTCACAGTCGTAAGATAAGCCAATTTTAAAACTTAAGTTACAACTGTGAAATCAGTCGTTTATACTTTTGTAAAAGATAATATAGACGATGCTACATGTATGCATACCAAGTATGCGTTTTGCTATACACTTTGAAACAAAGATGTAAATTTACCGCATAAATGTCTGTAGACCAAAATTTGGTATGTACACTTGAATGTACACACTGCGATTTGGAAGCACGACATACTTGATTTGCATACATGTAATATAATCTATATCATGCTTAAGTAAAAGGTTACTTAACTTAAGTATGCATTCATTATAATACTAGCGTTGAATAATTGTATAGATTCTAATTATACAATAAAGCATTTAGTGAAGAATAATCTTTAGTATATAATGTCATCTAATATTATTAATTATTTGAAAACTGTTTATGCAATACAATACACAAAAATAAAAAGTTTTTTACTTACTAAAAGTGTTCGATTAAAACTAATATTGAAGAAGTTATTATAGCACTACAACAAAACAGAGCAGAACTTTTTTAAACAATTTCAAATTGACTGTCAAAAACATTTTTATATCCTGTATGTCAATTTTAAATTCCAGAGAATAATTGATTTCAATACATTATATGTCAACTTACGTGAGACATATAAACTAATTTATATATTGCATGTTATTGTAGTAGCATGATGTACTAGATTGAAACTACTACTATTATTATTATTATTATTATATATTTAAATAATTTAATGTCATATACGATAATAAGTGTTTTTGTATAGAAAAGGTTTTATAGTGAAGAAATAAAAATTCACTTTTAATAAATTGTATTGAGCTGGAGCGAAAATTGCTTAAGTTCATTATCAATGGTCTTCAGAAATATTCTAAGGCTTAATAGTCCGCTTGTAATTCTTTAACTACATGTATCAGGAATTGAATCTACCCAAAGCACAACAATGAACCAGTTTTTTACCACAAAAGGCAAGCGAAGGCTTAATTTATATTATTAAGATTTCAATCAAAATTTAACAATCGCGCAAAACCAGTGAACAACAACAATAAAAATTCTTTTATATTATTTTAATTAACTGAATTGTTGACTGACCATATAGCTAATTCAAGTATTGCCAAATGCCTATCATCAGTGGTCTTGAAAAAATTCTTGAATTTAATTATTGGTAAATAATTTTTTGATACTGCAAGTACCACGGATTGAACTCGTGTCCTACCAAATTTGAAGCTCAGAGTCAGTGTTAATTTCGGCAACTGACCCTTAGTCAGTTTTGTTAATTAGTTATGAAAGTTTCTATTAACATATATACCTGTTGTATTATATAAAAATGAAATCATAATTACAAATTATTGTAATTATAATTGCAAGGCAGTAAATAAATCTTTGCTATTTTAAAAGTGTGCAACTTTACCGTCTGTCCGTCCGAACTGTTCAAAAGTAGTTTAGCAAGTTTCGTTGTGAACGTACGAGCGCAATACTAATGACAAGTGAGAATTCATCGTATATTGACGTCTACATTTTTGCTCATAAAGCTTTATTACATATCAAGCAGAATAGTTTTTTTGTTTTACTTTAAACTTATGCTTTTACATATACTTTAGTTTATAGTTTTTTTTCCAAAAAAAAAAAAAATACTTTTATTTTGAAATTTTACTTGAGAAGAGCTGCTTGAAATCCTTGGGAATGTGTATTAGTCGACTGATAATTACAACAATTTTAGACGTAATTTTTTCTTCTACAGTAGCAAAAAAATAACCTCAACTTGCAAAAGATACCATGTAAATCAACAACAATGTTTTTAAAATCTTCAAAATAAAGTTTTACTCACAAAAAATGTAACGTTTTAAGTTTTAGTGCGGCCAAATTCAAAAAAATAAGTCTATTGTGAATATATATGGAAATATGTTGCAAAATTACAGTCATTCCTTAAATTCATACAAGCATTTTGCTTACTAATAAACTCAAATACGTAAATAATTATATTAATTTATATATACAATATAAAAATGCTTGCCATTCTAGTATTCATATTACTTTCTTTTATTTCAATTAATAATTTTTTATGTTTTCATATTGAACACAAGACAAGAAAAAACACATCAAGAATACGCAGTTCATATATTTTAAAAGTGATGTCAACTATTTTCAACTAGACTTTATGCTGTTTTTCTACAATTCTGAAAAAAATTTACGGCTTATGTCACACTTATAAAAGAACACCATACAACAATAAATAATTTTCCCAAACACTGTGGCAACATTCAAATCTAAATTTTCATATTTGCTTTCTCTTGCTTTGACGTCTGTTTAAAAAAAAACGCGCTAAACGGCATTTAGTATCAACTGAATTTCTGTCGTTGTTAAACGTTGTGTACCTTTTATAAAATAATAATATCTTTTATAAAATAATGAAAAACATGCGAAAATTAACTAAAAAGCCACCAACAACTAGTGATTTAGAAGAATATATGGTTTCGGTGCCAAAGGAGCACAAAGAAAACGTGAAGAATATGTCATTAAAAATGATGTCTCATCCAGCGTATGGGCAAAGGTTGGTATTATTTGGTTTGTCATTGTGCTCAAAAAAAAACTCAAAAACGACTTTAATATATTTAATATTAGTTATCAATGGTCTGTTAAGGATTTTGAAATGGGCGCCCCACTTGGACGTGGTAAATTTGGACGAGTTTATATGGCACGTGAACGGGTTTCGAAATATCTAGTGGCAATGAAAGTCTTATTTAAAGATGAATTACGACAAGGAAACGTAGAAAAGCAAGTTTTACGAGAGATAGAAATACAATCTCATTTAAAGTAAGCACATCATATATAAATAATATATAAATAATATATAAATAATTAACTATAAATTCTTAACTAAAAATAATAAATATGATAAACTATTGAAGGCATCCAAACATTTTACGCTTGTTGACATGGTTTGATGACGATAAACGCATTTATTTAGCTCTGGAACTTGCATCTGAAGGTGAACTATATAAACATTTGCGTAATTCAAAAGATCATCGCTTCGATGAATTTCGTTCCGCAAAATACACATACCAAGTAGCTGATGCACTAAACTACTGCCATTTGAATAGTGTTATTCACAGAGACTTAAAACCGGAAAACATATTACTCACCTCATCAGATGATATTAAATTAGCTGATTTCGGCTGGTCAACTCATACTTTATCCAATCGGTAAGAAATGAAAGCCAATGGGTCAATTATTATTTGCAAATACATAGCTTTAATTTGATCACAATTGAGTTAGGATAGTTTATAATAGATATTTTGCCTTTCCCGTGTAGAAAGGCATTTCGACCATTTCAAAAGTGACAGGGTCTACGTCTCGAAGCCATTCGTTAAATTCGACGACCAAGTGCCGTTCACCATACCTTAAAGGTTTAATATCTCAATGGTTTAATAGCAGTTTATTACTATATTAAGCTATGATTTTGAGAGAACGTAATGGTGCACGAGTGCAGTACGTGATAGTCAGGAATTTCAGAGAATCACTCTTTAAGTGCATTCAAATACTATGCACTTTTATATATATATAAAACAAATTTCATGTTTTATTCATGGTCGTCACAAACTAATGTACAAAGTCAATTCCATTAGTAAATTTGAGTAAATTATTCAGTTTAGCTAGATATTCTCTTAATAAGAAATATAAAAAGGATAGCGTTAAATATCTCGGCATCACGTTGGACAAACGATTCACATGGCTTAAACATGTTCAACTGAAAAGAATTAGCTGTACCAAAATTCTTCATTACCTCCAACCGTTATTTAGAAAAGAAAACCTCAATGCTAAGAACAGAAAACTGATATATAACCAAATAATTTGTCCGTCACTTCTATATGGTTGTGTAGCGTTTAGCAAAGCTTCAAACACTACTATTCACCAATTAGAAATTGCACAAAGTCAGGCTCTAAGAAGACTTTTCAAACTTCCTTGGTATATTAGGACGAATGACATCCTTAGGGACCTCAAGATTGATCCCATCAAAAAATACATAAAAGATAGAGCCTTGAAATTATTTGCGAAATCTGACAGACTTACTAACACCGCGTTATCAAATCTCAGAATTGTTACAGGCTCCTCGGGGAGATATGCAGATCTGAGATCAATTATTACTTAGTCTGATGATGAGATAAATAATAATCCAGTCAAGGCACAGAGGGGTTTTGAAGAAACCTCGCAGTTAATATAAAGTAAAAGTGCTCAGGTGCACTAACTCAACTTTCCTCAACATAATAATAAAAAGTTTTGCGAATAAATCATCACAGCCTTATCCAAACTCCGTTCGTATTTAATTCACATCTATAATGTAAAATATGTGCGTCATATCTTTTTGACTTCTTAATTATTTATGATTATTATGTTATTATAATAATTAAATAATAACAATTATAATAATAATAATTATAATAATTAAATAATTGAAATATTAATTTCAAAATTGCAGACGCCAAACACTTTGCGGAACGTTAGACTACTTACCACCAGAGATGGTGAATGGAAAACATTATGATGATTCTGTTGATCAATGGTGTTTGGGTATACTTTGTTATGAGTTTTTAACGGGGCGAGCACCGTTCGAATCAAGTTCCAATGAAAAGACTTACGAAAAAATTTCTCGCATAGACATTCATTATCCATCGCATTTAACAGCTGGCGCCAAGGATTTAATATCAAGTGTAAGTCAACTTAAACTTAAATTAAAAATATATAGTAATAATCTGATTATTTATAGTTGCTGCGCAAATCAAGCGATGCACGTATTTCCCTTGTGGATGTAATGAAACACTCTTGGATTAAAAGGAACATGGCAAAACGGAATGAAATATTAGCCACTCGTGGAGTAGCAAATTAATATTAAGTTAAATTCAATATTTAAAACAGTAGTATATAAGAAACTTATTTTGTATTAATTCTAAAATGGGCAACTAATTAGTTTACCCATCAGTTTTGACAGCAGTTTTTGCATTATGTTTATTTTATCTTTATATGAAAATTATTGTTAAATATTATTTTTTAATATTGTTTATATTCTCTTAAACATTCTACTCTATTATGAGTAGAATTAGTACTATAAATTATAAACTTGACTCTAAACAAATATAAAAATAATGACTAAATCACATCAAATATGTTTAAAACTTTGACATTCACTACAATAACTTATATCGCTAAACTTTATAATGCTATCAATTCATGTAAGAACTGCAAGCTTAATGCAGTTCTTTTTATTAATTGCTTTGTAGACATCCACGTAGATGAACTGCGCATTCCTTTTAAATATTCACTATAGAGGTTGTAAAAACTTACTGGAAAAAGAAACTATTAAGGATTTTCTCTGGTAGTGCCCAGTTTTGGCTGAGATTTTTAGGGAAGGTAAATACTTTTGTGACAGTTCGTCAAACTGCTCATCGGTGAGGACGAAAGATTTGTTAAATTATCTTAATTCAGTAGTATGTATGGTGACGATTGTGATAGCAAACCAATGAAGAATCTCTCATTGTCGTCAGTGGAAAGATATCTGCTGACCTGTTACTGCAAACAACTAACTTTTCACTTTTATCAATGACTAAAATTTGACTCTCTCCTACCATTTTGAGCAGAAAGAATCGTGAAACTATCGAGCAAGTTAATTATATAGGGAATGGAATAAAATACGCTTCTTATTTGTTTATATTACACCAACATTCAGTAGAGTATGGCACCAGCCATTGCCAAATGTTTTCATCTCAATTGCTTAAATTGATCAATAAAAGATACATTTTGTTAAGTTCGAATATAAAAGTAATATTAATTGGTTTATGGTAAAACCTTTTATGATATATAATTCTAGAAATACAATTACACTTTGAATAATACCTTCTGCTCAAAAAGTACGGATTTTGTAAATAAAACACACAAATTTAAATTTTATTCCAAATTTACTTTATCTCCTTCAAAATATGCTCCTTCTGAAGCGATACACATATGCCAACGCTTAACCCAATCTTCCATACATTTTTCGTAGGCCCGTGCAGGTATGGCTGCTAGTTCCTTCAGCGAATTCTCTTTTACCGATTCAATCGTCTCAAAACGCTTACCACGAAGGGGCAATTTGAGTTTCGGGAACAGGAAAAAGTCGCACGGCGCCAGATCTGGCGAATACGGTGCCTGAGGGATGACAGTGGTACCGTGTTTGGTCAAAAAATCGCGTACAACAAGAGCCGTGTGCGATGGAGCATTGTCGTGGTGAAGAATCCAATTGTTGGCTTCCCACAAATCTGGTCTTTTCTCACTGATGGACTCACGCAAATGCCGCATAACGCCGAGATAATATTCTTTATTGATGGTATGACCCTCTGGCAAAAATTCGTAATGAACAACACCGCGGTAGTCGAAAAAAACAGTGAGCATAACTTTAATTTTCGAGCGACTTTTGCGCGGTTTTTTGGGTTTTGGCTCGTCTTCGTTTGATTGTTGACTGGTTTCGACGTCATATTCATGAACCCATGTCTCACCACCTGTTATGATGCGTTTCATGAATGTAGAGTCGTGTCCATGCTCAAAAATCATTTCATCACACACGATCTTTCGGTATTCTTTCTGGAAAAAATCAAGGTGTTTCGGTACAAGTCGACCTGCAACGCGTCTCATGCCCAATATATCATGTAGAATGTTGTGAACGGATCCATTTGAGATGTTTAAGTCACGAGCAATCTCCCTTTCAGTCATACGACGATCTTCCAGCACAATTTCCTGAATTTTTGCCACGTTTTCTTCGTTATTTGATGTTGATGGACGTCCAGAACGAGGCAAATCTTTGATCTCTTCACGACCCTTTTTAAATGACTTATACCACTCGTAATCCTGTGTTCGAGACATAGAAGAGTCCCCGTAAGCTTTCTGCACCATTTTCAATGCTTCAACACATGAAATTCCGTTCAAAACACAAAATTTCAAACAAACTCGTTGTTCAACTGAATTTTCCATAGTAAAAATCGCTAAATGCACTTGGTAGTCTCACGTTAACAGCTGCTGTAAACAAACTAATTGACAGATTGCGCTCAAATTTGTACCAAATGTCAAGAAAGGGTGTACCAACATAACAAAAGAAAAAGGTCCTTTACTTAAGGACTCGTTACTTTTATGTGTCGCACCTGATAAAGCCTTCTAAGATTTCAAATTAACACACATTAGCATTTATAATATATAAATTATAATAATTATATACAAAATAATTACTTTCACTTTATAGATAATTCAATTGTTCGGGTGCAATACGCCTCCCCAGTGAAATAGACTCCCCATATAACGTTTTCAGTGTGCAGCGCTAGGTACACTAGGCACGTTAGGTATAGGAATGCCGTTAACAAATCTGAGTGAAATAAAAATCATAAAGACAAATATCAATGATTGTTATTAGAAAAATTAAATATACTAAAATTTTATTTATATACAAATACATATGCTTCGCGTATTAGCAGCTCCTCGTCTGTTATTGCTATAGGCGCTGCAAGTGGAAATAATCGCTTCGTATTAGCAATAAAATTGCTTACGTGGAAATGAGCGCTACGCACAACATGGGCTTGACCTATTTTTTACTATTACGTTTTAACGCAAAAATACATTTTTTTCGAAGTGCTGCTTGAAAAGGAAGCCTTAAAATAAATAAACATAAATACTTTAAATGAGTAACTACTTTCACCGTCCTGGTATTTTAAACTTTATTCGTTGTTGTTGTTGTTGTGATTTGAGTTAGTGCTATTGCGCAGTTTTACTCTATTGTGGCTGGGGGTCTTATCCCTGCCCCACACTAAACTTTAGCTATACTAGAAACATTGATTTATTTATTTTCTAACTGATGACGGACCGTAGATCAGCATATCTTCCTGTGCGTCCTGAGGTGGACTTAAGGTTTGTTAGAGCGGGGTTGGGCAACGTATCAACTTTTGTGAATAATTTTACGGCTCTGTCCTTGATATACTTTTTCACTGAGTCCATTCTTAGATCTCTATGAATGTCTGTTGTTCTAATATACCAAGAAATCTTAATTAGTCTTCTTAAAGCCAGATTTTGTGCTATCTGTAATTGCTTTATAGCAGTATTTGACAGATTGCAATTGATTGCTTTAGAATAAAATATTTTCACAAAATTTACATCAACAAAAATGATATGTTTGGAATAATTAAAGCAATTTTCATATTATCATTAATGATTCTGTACTGAAAATATTCAAAATCGTGGTACTTTTCAATTACTTTTGAAAATTTGATATAACCATCAGTGAGAGGTGGTTATATTTTTTCTGGCAATTACTACAACCTTTAACTGTGCAGTTCATTTTATTAATGTTTTTTATGGTCTATATTCACTTTACTTTAAACAAATTTGTACAAATTGCATTTGAAATCTAATCTTCGCATTTGTTTTCAAAATACTTGTAATCTACACATTTCGTGCGTAAACAAACCAATAGCAAATGTCATAATTAGGTCTATACCACGAGCTACTCGTACTAACTTTGAGGTACACTGTGTATACACAAGTACGTTCCACCAGCAAATTTCCAAGTAATGAGAGCATCTGAGAGAGCGTAAGATCCCTGTTGAAATTTGAAATAGCTACACAGACTTTACTCGTACATTTTATTTCAAATAAAATTTGTGTTGATATGTGAATCAGCTGTTTTGATTTGAATTTAAATTTTTGCATTATTTATTTGTGTTCTCACCAGACTGTACACAAAGCTGTTCCATGAAAATCTGTGTAAAAAGCGTAATTTAGCACTTTTTTTGTGCTACACATTCAATTTGTAATTTACTTGTGTTTTACTTGAATTTTACTACGAACAGCTTGTGGAGCAGACCTATTTTCATATTACTTTGCTTGTCAATTCTTCGACACGAATAAAATCCATAAGCATTTCTCACATTAAAAAGAAAACTTTAAACAGAAAAAAAAACCAATTTTCAAATATGCTGAATAAAAAAATATACTCCCTGAAATAGTATTCAATTTTTTCATTTTAAAAATTTTATTTTATTGTACACAATTTTAATTGTTGCTTATTTTAATTATTCTTAGAACACAACACAACAAGCAATAATTTTCCCAAACACTGTGGCAACATTCAAATATAAATTTTTATATTTGCTTTCTCTTGCTTTGACGTCTGTTTAAAAAAAACGCGCTAAACGGTGTTTAACGCCAACTAAATTTTTACCGTTTGTTGTTAAACGTAGTGAAAAAATATCTTTTATAAAATAATGCAAAAGATGCAAAAAGTAAATAGAAAGCCACCAACAACTAGTGATTTAGAAGAATATATGGTTTCGGTGCCAAAGGTGCACAAGGAAAACGTGAAGAATATGTCATTAAAAATGATTTCTCATCCAGCATATGGGCAAAGGTCGGTATTATTTGGTTTGTCATTGTGCTATAATATAACTCAAAAACGACTTTAATATATTTAATATTAGTTATCAATGGTCTGTTAAGGATTTTGAAATGGGCGCCCCACTTGGACGTGGTAAATTTGGACGAGTTTATATAGCACGTGAACGGGTTTCGAAATATCTAGTGGCAATGAAAGTCTTATTTAAAAATGAATTACGACAAGGACACGTAGAAAAGCAAGTTTTACGAGAGATAGAAATACAATCTCATTTAAAGTAAGCACATCATATATAAATAATATATAAATAATTAACTATAAATTCTTAACTAAAAATAATAAATATGATAAACTATTGAAGGCATCCAAACATTTTACGCTTGTTGACATGGTTTGATGACGATAAACGCATTTATTTAGCTCTGGAACTTGCATCTGAAGGTGAACTATATAAACATTTGCGTAATTCAAAAGATCATCGCTTCGACGAATTTCGTTCCGCAAAATACACATACCAAGTAGCTGATGCACTAAACTACTGCCATTTGAATAGTGTCATTCACAGAGACTTAAAACCGGAAAACATATTGCTCACCTCATCAGATGATATTAAATTAGCTGATTTCGGCTGGTCAACTCACACTTTATCCAATCGGTAAGAAATGAAAGCCAAGGGGTCAATTATTATTTGCAAATATTAAACAATATTGCAGTGTTGAAGTATAGAATTCTCCTTTTGACAGAGATCTAAGGTTATATTACACCCACTTAATCAGGGGAAGTCAAGCCACAGTTGTGATTATATTGTCTCCGATTTATTCGATATAGTAATTACTCAAAAATTTAATTACCTAAAATTAAAAACTGTTGTATCAGGAAATATGATAACATTAGGTGAAATATTGAGTTGTGCGTTATATTTCTTCTTTGAATTCAGAAAATATGGAGGAATAAATACAAACTGGACTTCATTAGTGTTACATATACGTACTTTAGTTTTAAAGTTGAAGTACATAAAATTGAATAAAACTACTTCCAAGAGTACAAAATTCCCTATTCAATTCTATATTTTTAAGATGTGTTAACTTAGATAAGTTTCTATTTCAGTTGTCTGGCTTTCAGATAATAATACCTATTCTAGAACACTAATAAAATAGCAGAAATAGGATCTCCTATAAGAACAACAGCACTACGACTTTGAGAGATTAGTGAACTGCATATATTTTAATCTATCACATAAGACTTCCTTGTTAAGATGATGGCTCAGGTCAAAGTAACTTGATTGATAATCAGTCCATGCAATATCTTAAGCTTATTCTAAGTGGAGAAATGAATTTTTTTATAGGCAAATAAATGATTTAGGTTTAGTAGTGAACATTTATGATTTTTATTGTCATCAATCAGAGAATTATTTGTTGACTTATTCATCCCACAACAACTTCCTCGTGTGCAGTACTGCATGTTTAAATTGGTCCATAGTTCTTTTATGTGCGTCCACAGTTTAGTTTCTTAAAATTGGGAATAATTATATGTCAAACAAAGCACTGCTCGATTTCAGCTCGTTTATAACTGTAACCTGTAAACAGAATTCAGCATCCACCCATATATTCGTCATGTAATCCCTTTAATGTTATCTGTTTTACACATCCCCCTTGGCTACAACAACAACAGAATTTACCATATTTCTATAACATATTCTATAATACAATGTGTATATTTCAAAAAACACGTTGTTTTCAAATTTATGTTCAAATTGCAGACGCCAAACACTTTGCGGAACGTTAGACTATTTACCACCAGAGATGGTTAATAAAACACATTATGATAATTCTGTTGATCAATGGTGTTTGGGTATACTTTGTTATGAGTTTTTAACGGGGCGAGCACCGTTCGAATCAGGCTCCACTAGCGAGACTTACGACAAAATTACTCACATGGAAATTCATTATCCATCGCATTTAACAGCTGGCGCCAAGGATTTAATATCAAGTGTAAGTTAACTTAAACTTGAATTAAAAATATATAGTAATAATCTGATTATTTATAGTTGCTGCGCAAATCAAGCAAAGCACGTATTTCCCTTGTGGACGTAATGAAACACTCATGGATTAAAACGAACATGGCAAAACGGAATGAAATATTAGCCAATCTCTTCCACGATTAACTTAAATTAATATTAAGTTAAATTCATTATTTAAAACAGTAGCATATAAGAAACTTATTTTGTATTAATTCTAAAATGGGCAACTAATTAGTTTACCCATCAGTTTTGACAGAAGTTTTTGCATTATGTTTATTCTATCTTTATACGAAAATTATTGTTAAAAATTTTTTGTAATGTTGTTTATATTAATTTAAAAGCTTATGAATTCGTGTTCCTCATCTCTGAAATATTAAATATTGAAAGAAAATGTTTTGTTATAATATAGTTTTAAGAAACTCTATTTATTTATTATAATCTAATTCTGCTATTGGTAATGTACAAATACACGGTAGCTGTTAGCTGCCTAATAAAACAGGGTTCTAACTTAAATATAATTCCTATTATTTTTTATATATGATATTTAAACTTCTATATACAAATAAATCAATAACTTATAAGTTTTATAGTAAGATATATATAGTGGTACACTCAAGTTATAGTTTCAAATTAGATTGTTTGTTTTATTATTATATATATGAGAAACTAAATAGATTTTTAAGCAATGGAATATTACGCATTTAATTAAAATAATTTTCTCATTTATAATTCCAATTTATATTGTAATCCATCAATTAATTTTAATAATTTATTTAACTCGTTAAGTCTTATTTGAAATAAACCAATCATATATGTTTAAATAATTGTATAAAATGTTGTTTAAATAAATAAAGAAATATTTCTCTGTTCATTATTTGCAAATGGTATTTTCAAATAAACGTATGTCTAGTATATAGTATGCCAGAGAGAGAGAGTCTAGTATAGAAAAAAAGTGTTAGAATTACAACACTTTAAATACTGAAAGGATAGTTATGAAACATAATCAACTTGATTAGTACTTTATTCTTACAGATGTCTAGTCCACATAACACAACTGTAAATTAGTCAAGTCAAGTATTTCTTAACTCAAAAGCTGCTACAGATACGAACGGTTCGAAGAACGGCCGAGTCTACGTCTAGGAGTCACTAATGAACCACGACGACCAAAATTCGTTCGCCATCTTTCATTGTGAGTTTATTTGCAGATCTCAGCGGGTTATAACAACAACAACAACAACATATGGACCGCTAAAAATATCTTCCCAAAAAACAATATCGCCAAAAGTACAAATTAAATATTTTACGCACCGACGGTGTTCTTCATCAGAAGAATAGGAAAATAGACACAGAAATATACTAAAAGTATGAAACAGTCTATATACTAAAAGTGTGAACTAGTTTATATACTAAAAGTATGGATTGTCTATACACCACAGATTATGCCACCACAAATTATATACCAGATTTTTACGCTACATAACCATTAGAGGTGTTGTAGGAGTGTACAATAGCTAGAGCTATCTGTCTTTTCCTCAATAGTGTGTCTGGGTTCATTTAGAAGATCCACTGTAATTCTGATTATAAGTTATTCAGTTGATTTTATAAAAGTATAATTTGAAGCCCAGTATTTCTTCCTGATGGAAGAGAGTGCAATTTTGAATTAGTGTGCATTATGTCTAGACCGGTAAGAACTATCAGTTAAACTATATAAATAACAAATTTCCCTCATTTCAGCTATAAGAAACTATTTGTACTTAAAATAAAATAAAAAAATTTCATTTTTTAAATGCAAAATCTCAATTTGCAGATGTATTTGAAGTATTTACGCCTTTGTTGTTACTTGGTTTCAATAAAGATAAATTAACAGAATTTGTTTGTAATTATGCATTTACTGGCTAAACATTGAATTAAGTTTATTTAATGTTTGTTTGTTGATTGGTTGCTTCCGTAATTATTGTATGTTTTCTCTATATATGTATATATGTGATTTGCATGTTTAACCTTCTAATTCCAAAGCGACACCAATTTTGTGACCACCGGCATTGAAGTTCTTGCCATCGATTAATGTGGAAAGGGTCAGTGTGACTCCATCACGTAATTTTTGTTGATAGCCTAAACCAACTTGGCTGGCATTGTTGACTTTGGCGCGTACGCTAGCATCCTTATCCAATTGATATTTACCACCGATACCGAACTTAGTATTATTGCCACCAGTTGCCCATGATAACTGCACGCCACAGTCTAGTTTATCAGAGCATCTTTGGAAAATGGAGCCGCTGAATTCCTGACCATCATTTCTAAATGTATAAAATAAATAAATAAATTAAACAATCAATATTTTTATTAAAAAAAAAAAAAATACTTACACCGCTGTATGTAATACGAAATCTTTTGTGGAATAACCCAAGGCAAAGTTATTGGCGGCCAATTTTGAATTTTGGGTATCGAAAGCGGTCTGGTAACCAGCCAGCCATCCCTGGTAGCCAAGTACAAGTGAGCTATTGATTAGAGGTCCTTTTAAGTCAATGTTGACATCAGAATCAAATTTGACATTTTCATGACCGTACGAAGCCTTCAATTTGCCTTCCTTATTGCTGCATAAATGGAATTTAAATTATAATTAAATATAAATATCAATCGATAAATATATATAAGTAAATAGAAATATATATAAATAAATGTAAGTATACATAAATAAATATAAAAACATATATAAATTCATAAGTAAATAAATGTAAATATATATAAATAAACATAAATATTTATAAATAAATAAATATGAATATATATAAATAAATAAATAAATATAAATATATATAAATAAATATAATTATATATAAATAAATATAAATATATATAAATAAATATATATATATAAATAATTATAAATATATATATATGTATATAAATAAATAAATATAAATATATATAAATAAATATATAATATAATATATATATATATAATATAATAAATATATAAATAATATATAAATAATATATATTAATATATTATATATATGAACATATATATATAAATATATATAAATATAACATAATAAATATATAATATATATGAATATATATATAAATATATTATAATATATAGAACATATTATAATAATATTATATAATGTAATATATATATAAATATAATATATATATGATACATATATATAATATATATTATATATTAGATCATATATATAAATATATAATATATATAAAATAATATAAAATATTATATATATAATATATATAAAATATAATATATATATAATAAATATATATATATATAATATATATGAACATATATATAAATATATATATATATATAAACATATATATAAATATATTATATATATATAAATATATATAAATATATATAAATATATATAAATATATATAAATATATATAAATATATATAAATATATATAAATATATATAAATATATATAAATCTATATAAATAATTTAAAAAAAATGCAAATATATATATATGTATATAAACGTATATAAATACATATAATATAAAAATGTATATAAATAAATATATAAAAATATACAAAAATATAAATAAATATAAATGAATATAAACATTTGAAAAGAAATTTAAATATTTTTAACTTTAATTTACCCAGTTTGTGGGGCGAAAGTGCCTGCGAAAGACAATTTAAGGCCTTCAAGTAATTGATCTTGGACAGAAACTTCAGTGAATAACGTATTATCTGTGCTCCATTTCTCCGTTAAAGTTAGACCATAATCGTTAACTTTGTATTTGGTTTCCAATGAACCGAAGACTTTGCCAGATTCTTGGTTAGAGTGACCTACTGTATTGAATTCAATGCCAGAAGCAGTTTTGGTCTTGCAGTCCAATTTCCATAAACCAAAGTGGTAACCTTTACCGAAGATATCCCGTGCTTGTTTACCAAGATCTGAGTATGATGGAGGAGCCATCTGTAAAAATAAAATAAACATTTTTAATAAAAAGAAAACAAATTCACAAAATATACAAGCTTTTTTTCTTAATAAAATCTAGAACAAAACTTACTGATGTGCCCGAATTAATTAGTTCTATCATTTAAGTATACAGTGAAAGCTCTGTTAAATAGACATCTTTCTGCAACGTGCTATCTGTGCACGTTCTTTTAAACGGACCGATCTCTCTTAACCAGTCAATATGACTGATACCGGCGGTATCCATTTAAGAGAGCTTTTACTTTATTGCTAGCTTCCTTAATATATTAAGTAAAAGTTATTCAATAATGTATAACGATTTAAAATAAGTTAAAAGTAATATTAAGAAAATAAGATTTCATACGGCTTTGATTTTAACTATCATAACTTCAGGTAGTTCCCAGCCATTTGTATTTGTATTACTTATTATTTCTGTCTGTTTTTTAAACAGTCCTTTGAGTCTATGTAATATATCCATATGTGTTTTATTGATTCTAATGAAATGCGCCGTAAGATACACAAAAATTTTGAAAAAAAGGTCCAATGAATTCTAAATGTCAATTGATGGTAACTGGTAAACATAAATTCACTTATTTACGATTGACATATTTGACAACTCGAACTGCAGTGTTGTATAATGGTTTTTTATGGATTTAAAATAGGTGCATACTATTGTCAGAGATATAGATCTATTTGTCTACCAAGTTTTATAATAACAAATTTGCCTACTAATCGACTCAGTAGACAGATGTCTATTGTCTATCGGTAGACATTTTATAATAGCCATTATAAGTAACTATATCTGCGGCTGTGGTGCGACGCGGTACAGTATGCGGTTTATATGAATGTCCACACAGTTACGGTAGAGCACCAGGCACAAAGTTGAAAAAAAAAGAGCAAGAAAAGAGAAAATTTAAATTTTCTGTATTATAGTTCTTAAATTAAATTTCTAACTCACTACATTCAAAACTAAACGTGCTTGGAAAAATGAAATACATTCGATCTGATAAAATCTAAGAACTGCATCATCTAAAAACTTTAAACTCCTATATAGTAGATACAATTGACAGACCGTTCCATGTTAACACAGTTTTGTGATCTAGAGTAAATCTTGATTGAATCCAGATTTACTAATCGAAAACGATATTTAGGTAACATGGACAAGACCAGTCGTTGTTGTTGCAACTTGTATTGGAAGGGGCGAGTGGTCAATAAATATATATAAAGATACATATATAAATAGATATATAAATAATTATGGATATATAAATAAATACCTTGGTAGACAAACTTGCAAGAAGAGAAGCGGACGCGGCTTTCTGTGGTCTAGGCAAACGACTCTATACATTCTTATGAATGACGCAGAGGAAAAAGAAAGTGAACTCTATTGGGAAATGCTACCAAGACTATCACAATTTAAGATGCTTTTAGGGACTTACAACCTAAAACAATTCAAAGATTGCAAAGAACAATCAAAGAGTGTAGAATGCATAATCACTTAACGAAGTTAGGAATTAAATCCAACTCAGACTGTAGAGGAGAGAGAGAGAGAGACACTGCATACCACGTGCTTGGGGAGTGCCCGGCAGTGATGCACAAGCGAAAGTTATATCTAGGAGGGTATATTTCATGAATTACAAGGATTCAAGACTAGGAAAGATAGGCTCTATACTGTCTTTCATTAAAGAAATTGGACTTGGAAAAACAGTCTAGTCCGACTAAGGGACACAATGGATCTTCTAAGTCGCAGTGCACTATCTCTTTACACAATAATAATAATAATAATAATAATAATAATAATAATAATAATAATAATATATAATATATAAATATACGTGAGTACATTTTTCAAGAAACAAATTTGGATTGTAGACACGAAATAAGAGAAAATTTTAAAAATAGATTTATTTTTACATAATATTTTATTAAAAAAATAAAAAATAAAGTTATTTTATAAAAAATTAAAAAACAAAAAAACAAAAAAGGCAGTGTTAAAAACAACCACAAAAATGGATTAAGTCAACTTATAGCTTTGGAAATGTGTGGGTCAATGAACGAACAAATTACTTCCAACATTTTTTTGTGTTTCACGTTTTCTACACTGCAGTTTGCATTATTTATTTTTAATTATTTTGCCGGATTGTGACGTATCAGGAAAAAATACGAATAAAAAACTATTGAACGATGAGAGAGAGAGAGAGAGAGAGAGAGAGAGAGAAGGGAAGAAGACTAGTGAATGGATTGATTTGTTGGAGAAAGATCATTGACATGGAAGAAATAGCGCTGAGGCTGCTACGTAAATAGTATGGAGAAGCAACCGATCTGCACTTGGTGCTTGAGTACAAATATTTGTAACTCGTATTAATTTTATGAAGAAATAAAAATAAATAATGCGCAAAATTCTTCTAATGTTTGTCAACAAGACATTAATGAACATTGGAATGATCATTAATAACGTCATGATCGGCAATTTAAAAATAACAAACTGATAATATTTGTTAGTGCCAATTTGCGCTATATTTTTAAAATTGTGTTCTTCATTTTTACGCTACAAATCTCAGACGATTTTATTATTTACAAAACAGAAAAAGAAAAAGAAAATTAATTTTATTTTAAGTTTCAGTTTTAGTTTTAATTTACAAAAGTCAAATGTGTGACATTTAGGTTTATTAATTTATATTTACATATAACTGAATTATATAATAATACATTTGAAGGGTTCAAAACATTTTAATTATGATTAATTGGAAAAATATGTTTTTATATTTGGAGTATCCAGAAAACTGTTTAATTCCTTAGAACCATTTTAAGCAAACAGTCATATGACCAATAGTCGTCACTAGATGGTTTTACAACCATCTGCACATGATCATGAAGGCATGTTATGCAGGCAGTCAAATCACAAGTCAATTACATACTGTGACTATTATTTTGCTAATTCTTGATTGTGCTCCGAGAAACGACATCATTTTTGACATTCACTACTGAGTAATATTGTTTTGACCAACGTAACATGGTTCAAAAATTTTCAAATCCCGAGAAAACGAAATTTCTATCTTGATTCATTTCATTCTCATTTATGTAAACAACATTTTATGTAATTTTACTTCCTTACGTTCAAAGTATTTTCGCTTTTTTCTTCATCAGGAGAATTCCTAATATTAGAATTTAATTATAACAGTTTATGTTTGACGTGACCATGACTGTCTGCATAACATGGCTCAAAATTAAATGAAGTCACAAATTCCACAGAATTTGTTTTATCAGCATTTTCTAATTTTTTTAGAAAATGTTTTCAGCGGTCAATTGTTGAATAAAATCTTCATAGAACCATTCCGATTTCCGGCACCACCAATTTAACAATGGATTTTAACAAAGACAGCTATTATTGAACAAAACCTTTCGGCAGTGTTATATGTCAAGTCAATATAATTTAGTTTTCGAAATATTAGACTTTAAAATTGCGAATTTTTATATATAAGTCACCAACAAGTAGATACGCCATCTGGCGCTAAATCCATGTAAAATATTGCAAATAGTAGTAATACACTAGTTGTCGTTAGATGGCATGTGCAGCTCTTTTTGTTAGTGTAATGTAAAAGATTTATAACAGTTGCACTTCAATTGGAACAGCCTATATAATATCTGGTAAAAAAAAAATAATTAGAACTTTTGTCTAATTAAGAACACTAAGGCATAGTACTTTTGTGAAAGATTTTTGTTAAGACTTTTCTCGTAAAGACCACTATTCTGAGCAACTGTTAAATTAATTACATAAACAACAACTAAATGTGGCAAACAACAGCTAAATGCACCAAACTACAATTAAATGTGGCAAACAACAGCTAAATGTACCAAACAACAATTAAATGTGGCAAACAACAGCTAAATGCACCAAGCAACAACTAAATGTGGCAAACGACAGCTATGGAATGCACAAAACAACAGTTAAATGCACCAAATAACAGCTAAACACACCATCCAGTGGTTGCTATTATATGAAATGTAAACATAGTTTATAAAAACAACAATTAAAAAGTAAGGCACGCCGTCTGGTAAATTTTCCATGTTAAAAAAATTTGCAATTTTATATTGTCCGATTTTGCAAGATATATATCTTATTGGAATAAGTTGCTTAAGATGGGCTCGAATTCAGTGTTTTGGATATCGTTATCGTATCCTTAGATTAATTTCTTTAAAGTTAAATAGAGAAATAAAATATTTGCATTGTAGAAAATGGTACTAAAACATGCTAACCAAGTTTTTAGTTCTTGGTTCGATGCCGCGATGAGTCCATACAGAACCTCGCTATTTGAGTTATTGGTCTCTGCACGTAAACATATTTAAACATACTATCCACATGCTAATTATGAACCATGTTCACTGTTAACTTTAAAACATATTATTACAATTTTTTCTATTTTTATAATTATATATTTTTATTATTATATATATATATATTATATTTTTTTTTTTATGCTGTTGTAACCAAGGCTTTGAACCGAAATTTTCAATTATTTAAATTATTTTATATTTTTTTTTTTTTGTTCTTGATTCAGTTTCGATTCGATATTGTGGTTGTAGCCCATAAAGAGACTTTACTATGTGAGTCATTGGTTCCGGGAAGTAAACTCGGACGGTTATGGCATCTTAATAATCCAACAGGAATCAAAATAAATAAAAATAGAATTATTTTTAAAAATAGTAATTTAAATATCGTTGCCAACTGCACGGATACCTGATATATTATTACACATACAATCTTTAATATTTACTTATTAAAAAATAAACAAAATAATTTGCAAAAAAAAAAAAAAAAATAAAAAAACTTGGCAAGTTTATGAGTCTATTGAGCAAAGAAACTACAAAGCAGACATATCATGTGATAATATAAAATGATGAATACACACATAGAAACCTTTAGAACTATAGAACTACACTTTAGCACAATAGAGTGCTAAAATAATACTTATGCAAAAAAAATATATAATTTTATTATTATATATGAGAAAATATCTTTTTTCATAAAAGAAAATTGAATTTGTAGCTTAAGATTTTTTTTTTTTTTTTTTTTTTTGTAATAACTGAATAGATAAAGTCACATAATGAATGTTACGAGAGCAAGTAAAAAATATGGAAATTCAAAATTCAAGCAAATATAACCGGTAAGAAAAATAAGAAAAACTTTATGATGTAATCAGTAGGGAAGGAAAAATGAAATTTAATATAAAAATGTTCCAGCATTTTTAAGGAAAATATTAAAAATGCACTTGCCTCGGACGTGACTATATTCGCATTCGCATCAATTTCATTATTATTAACACTATCATGACGTTTGTTTTTAACCCTGACCCAATTTTCTAAAAACTCCGGTATTTCAAAATAAAAATTTGCTAATAGGCGATATGGCCCATTAAATGATTTTGTTTCGCTGTTGTTGTTGTTGTTGTTATTGTTGTACATGTTTGCTCCATATGCAGGTATTACTTATAAAGTAAAATAATTGCAGTTGATTTTTTTGAGAAGTACGACTTTTCTTTAGAAGGCAA